AGTGTTATCATATATATTTACAGAAATATCTTCTTGCTATTAAAAAGCAATGATTAATAATAATAATAATAATAATAATTCATTTATTTTATATAGGCGCCTTTCAAGGCTCTCAAGGTCGCCGTACAAATATATAAAAACAAGATACACAATAGATAACACCAGCATAAGAAACATAAACAAGACAATGCAGTATATAAATCAATCAAATAACCAAATCAATAAAAACAGAGGATAATGATCAGGGTGGATATGCGAGTGTGAAGAGATATGCTTTGAGGCGTGATTTGAAAATGGGGAGAGAGTCAGTGTTGCGGATGTCAGGTGGGAGGGAGTTCCAGAGCCGGGACTCATACCTTGACTTTGAAATTAACAAAGATTGCTGAATGTTTTCTTACAGAAAGGACTTTGAAATGAACTCTATGAGTGCAAGGGTTGAAGATGAGCAAGCCTTGGTCAGCCAGCTGGAGAAGAAGATAAAGGAGCTCCAGGTAGAAACAAGTCTCTTACCTTCAGGCATGAGCAGTCAAGAACATCATGTTGGCAAACTAAGTGAGCATTGCTTCCCTCCAGGCCCGTACAGAGGAGCTGGAGGAGGAGCTGGAGGCCGACCGGGCTTGCAGGGCCAAGGTGGAGAAGCAGCGTGCCGATGTGGCTCGAGAGCTAGAGGAGCTGAGCGAGCGCCTGGAGGAGGCCGGGGGGGCGACCGTGGCCCAGATCGAGTTCAACAAGAAGAGGGAAGCCGATTTCCTGAAGCTGCGTCGAGACCTGGAGGAAGCCATGCTGCACCACGATGCCACCACTGCCACTCTGCGGAAGAAGCACGCAGACAGCGTGGCGGAGCTGAGCGAGCAGATCGACAGCCTGCAGAGAGTCAAGCAGAAGCTGGAGAAGGAGAGGGCCGAGGCCAAGATGGAGGTCGATGATCTGGCCTCTACCGTGGAGCAGCTGTCCAAGGGCAAGGTAGAGGAGAGACAATCTGAACGTAGGATGCAACCAAACTAGACCAACCCCTCAACAATCTATAAATGCATCTTTTGTTTGCAGGCCACTTCAGAGAAGATGTGCCGCCAGTATGAAGACCAAATGAACGAGGCGAAAGCCAAGGGGGAGGAGCTCCAGAGGCAGCTCAACGACACCACGACCCAGAAGGCCCGTGCTCAGGCTGAGAGTGGTAAGGAGCATTCATGTTATCATCGCTCTTACAAACTGATTTGAAAGACCCGGTACTAATACAGGTACCCTTTTTCTCCATGATGCAGCCGAGGTGGGCAGGAAGCTTGAAGAGCGCGAGTCCATGGTCTCACAGCTCCAGCGAGCCAAGAACTCCTACAGCCAGAATGTGGAGGAGCTCAAGAAGCAGCTGGAGGAGGAGAACAAGGCTAAGAACGCCCTGGCCCATGCACTGCAGTCATCTCGACACGACTGTGATCTTCTGAGAGAGCAGTACGACGAGGAGCAGGAGAACAAGGCTGAGTTGCAGAGAGGTCTGTCCAAGGCCAATGCCGAGGTGGCTCAGTGGAGGACTAAGTATGAAACTGACGCCATCCAGAGGACCGAGGAGCTGGAGGAAGCCAAGTGAGTCGGATTTGTTTTCAACGTACATAATTCGACGAATATGCAGCGATCCTTTGAACAATGAGAGTTAAATGTGGTTACCTCTCAATAGGAAGAAGCTGGTGACACGTCTGCAGGAGGCTGAAGAAACGGTGGAGGCTACAAATGCCAAGTGCTCCTCCCTGGAGAAGACTAAACATCGGCTCCAGACAGAGATCGAGGACCTGGCCATTGATCTGGAGCGCTCCAATGCTGCGGCTGCTGCGCTGGACAAGAAGCAGCGCAACTTTGACAAGGTATGGCAACTAATATAGAGGGTACATTTGAAATCACCCAATGTAGTCAGATAGATTGTAATCCATTTTTGCATATGTTTTGGTGACAATAGTACTGGGTTTATGGTATCATGTACAGCCAGGCCAACTCCTGATTTGTTACTTATTGCTCAAGGTGCTGGCTGAGTGGAAACAGAAGTATGAAGAGTGCCAGTCAGAGCTGGAGGGATCTCAAAAAGAGTCTCGCAGCCTGAGCACTGAGCTCTTCAAACTGAAGAACTCATATGAAGAGTCTCTGGATCATCTGGAGACGATGAAGAGGGAGAACAAGAACCTCCAAGGTACCTGTCGTCACATCATATTCACCATATTCAATTCCATAGAACTCATCGTTACCTTGACTTTATATAAAATATATATAAATGTTTATCTCTCTACTTCCCCAGAGGAGATCTCTGACCTGTCTGATCAAATCAGTCAGGGAGTGAAGACCATCCACGAGCTGGAGAAAATAAAGAAGGGTCTGGACTTGGAGAAAAGCGAGATTCAAGCTGCTCTGGAGGAAGCTGAAGTAAGCACTTTCTTATTTTTCTTTTCTGGCACGGTTGACCCACAACATGTATTCAAGCATTAAGTATCTGTTTCTCTGTCTCAGGGCACTCTGGAGCATGAAGAAAGCAAAACTCTCCGCATCCAGCTGGAGCTTAACCAGATCAAGTCAGAGGTTGACAGAAAGCTGGCGGAGAAGGATGAGGAAATTGACAGCCTTCGGTAAATTGTGTTGATGACTTGTTTCATCTTTCTTTGTAGTAAATCAACCCATTGGCCATCCCATACTTACAATTCTCTCTCCATTATCTCTTTCAACTTGTAGCCGTAACCACCAGAGAATGCTGGAGTCCCTGCAGGCTCATTTGGATGCAGAGGCAAGGTCTCGTAACGAGGCTGTGCGCCTGAAGAAGAAGATGGAGGGCGACCTCAACGAGATGGAGGTGCAGCTGAGTCATGCCAACAGGCAGGCTGCAGAGTCCCAGAAACTCCTGAGAAACCTGCAGGTTCAGATCAAAGTGAGTCCATCTGGCATCCTCCTAATACACCTAACCTGTGGCGCAACATTCATTAGCAAATGCCACACATTCAACCCATCTGACCGTACACTTGTGCCTCCAGGACATTCAGATGGAGCTGGATGACACCACTCACCAGAACGAGGAGCTGAAGGAGCAGGTTGCAATGACGGAGCGCCGCAACAACCTGCTGGGTGCGGAGGTGGAGGAGCTCAGGGCTCAGCTGGAGCAGAACGACCGGGCACGCAAGCTAGCTGAGCACGAACTGCTGGAGGCCACCGAGAGAGTCAACCTGTTGCACTCTCAGGTAGGAAGGAGAGTTTAACACTTTATAAAAAAGGATGCCTCCATAAACAAATCATCAAAAGAACGGTCACTTACCTTCAGTCGATAGGTGTGATGGGTTTCATTTGTCAAGCTAGCCAGTATGTGTGGTTGTTAGCTGAAAATAATTTGCAAAAGTATGTTTTTCTCGCCTATATGTTATTGTCTGGTTCAGCTGCTCTGACTGCGTGATCCCAACTAGTGGTTACCAAATGACAAAAATCTAAAAACTGAAACAAGATAAACTGACATTTCAATCCTAACATTATTTGTTAAATCTACTCTCTCTTGCTGCAGAATACTGGAATGATCAACCACAAGAAGAAGCTGGAGAACGATCTGTCCACGCTGTCAAATGAGGTGGACGATGCCGTGCAGGAGTGCCGTGATGCAGAGGAGAAGGCCAAAAAGGCCATCACTGACGTAAGAAATGGAATAAACATTTACACTACAGAATGGAATGTATCTGTTTGCTAGTAATCAGGTTGACCTGTTTGTAACATTCAGTTATTTGGTATTTATTCTCAGATTACTTGTAATGTTCATCTCTGATCCTTTGTTTGATTGAAGGCAGCCATGATGGCAGAGGAGCTGAAGAAGGAGCAGGACACCAGCTCCCATCTGGAGAGGATGAAGAAGAACATGGAGCAGACCATAAAGGATCTGCAGATGCGTCTGGACGAAGCTGAGCAGATCGCCCTCAAGGGCGGCAAGAAGCAGGTCCAGAAGCTGGAGGCCAGGGTGAGAGATGAGACGAATCAAAGAACTGTGAAGCCCCTATCACACCCGATAATACATGTAATGGGTATTGTGTGTAATAAGTGGATTTTCTGCTCTTTCTGGCAGGTCAAAGAACTGGAGAATGAAATGGAATTAGAGCAAAAGAAAAGCCAGGAGTATCAGAAGGGAGTACGCAAGTACGAGAGGAGAATCAAAGAGCTCTCCTACCAGGTAAACCAACACTGTGTTTGCACATAAGACATGCCAAGGTATGGATATACGAGTGAATGTTTTTTTAAGAGATCATACGTTGTGTGTGCAGGCTGATGAAGACAAGAAGAACCTGATCCGCATGCAGGACCTCATTGACAAGCTGCAGGTCAAAGTGAAGAGTTACAAGAGACAGACTGAAGAAGCGGTGAGTTAACAATCAGAAGTTTAACAATTCTGTTCCGCTCACTGATGAATGATTGAATAACCAAACGAGCCTTCTGTCTCCTCCTCTCTGCAGGAGGAGCAGGCGAACACCAGCCTCTCCAAGTACAGGAAGCTGCAGCACGAGCTGGATGACGCCGCGGAGAGGGCTGATACGGCCGAAACGCAGGTCAACAAGCTCCGCGTCCGCACCCGTGACCAAGGAAGCAAGGTTCGCAAACTAAATACATTTCATATTACAGCATGCTTCAAAATTGAATGACCTTTTAGAAGAATGTATTAAAATGAGCCAGCAGGCTTCAGTACAAGAACATATCTGAGAGCAGACGATGTAATCCTCTGTCGAAGATGACCTCATAGCCCCCTCATGTGATCCGAGTGTGGTCATGAGTAACTCTGTGACACTGTGTATGTGGTTGCTAATAAACACCCGTGTCTTGTGTATTGCAGCACGCTGAGTGATGTGAGGGCGGACGCTGCAGCCAGACATTTCACAGCCAGCCAGCTGCAACAGCTGTGCTCCACTGTGATCCCAAATAAAGACTTCAAAAGTCAACTTTAAATACGACTGCTCTTGTTTTTTGTTTGTGTGAATATGTGATAAAGATAGAAATCCCACAAGGAAGGTCTAAAGAAGAATTTATTATATTATTAATTTGACAAACAGCTGTTAAATAAGAAAAAATGAAGTTAAATACCAGCATTAGAGGGGGAACATGTGGGTGAAAGTGGGTTACAGAGTTATAGTCTGTTTGTTTGATGGTCAAACAGGGTTAGAAGGAGATGAAGACTGAAGGGTGCAGAGGTGAAATTTAAAACACAAAAACATGTGGAGATTTTATGCATAATTCAACACATGAAGAAAAACATAGGTTATCTAAAAGGATTTAGATTTCACACCATGAATATTATCCACTGTCCGCATCTGTTGGTCAACAAACACTATAGGTAAATCAGTGAGACACAATCATTCGATCAAAGAAGCACCACACGGTCCACGTTTAGGACCGGGTGCAAAAATGTGTCCTCCTCGTTCCAAACATCACATCAATCTCCTTTTAAATAAAGTCAAAGCATCAGGGATCTAAAGAAAACCAAATAGTGTCGACATAAACACTGTGCAGCATGTTTCTGGCCAAAGGGGAAAACATTTCACCATTTTCTAAACAAACAAAAAAGGATGAAATCTAAGGCCTACGAGGAGCAGATCACACCACATACAGCATTAAGTGTTGAGAACCAAATCTCTTGTGCATCATACAGAGGGTTCACTCTCTCTGAACAATTCAGATCACAAAGCTACAGAAGTCAGGATTGTTTAAATAGAGCGCTCACAACATTCATGTTTTTATACCGATAGCCTCATTGACTTCCATGGTGAGACGAGGAGATTGGGGATCAATGATAACACACGATCAGCACTAACACCACTGCAGAGTTACCCGGTGTCAAATCACATGTTATCAAGAAACCAGCGGAGTTATCTCGGGCATTCAGCAAAAGAAAATTGAGAATTTTGTAAGAGAGAAGCACTTCAAAGCACAAAAGATGAACTAATTCAAAGTATGTGCACACCCATCAAGAGATTTAAGACATGCTGAATGAAAGCTAGGAAAAGAAAACAGAGGAAACATTTCTGGTTAATCAGCTTTAAAGCAAATAAAAGGCTTTCAAAGTGTAAAAGGACGTTTGTGTTTGCATCCCAAGGCGGCATAGCACTAGCAACTCATGGCATCAACTGTAGAAATGCCCTTATACATTCACATGAACATTTATTATGACTCATGACATGCTCAGAGGAAAACTGTACACTTGTCATCAGAAGTGGTTTTTGATCTGTACGGATAAAATATGAGGTAGCTCATCCATTTGTACTTATCTGTTCAATTTGAGACACCAAATCTTTCTTTTTCCATAAAAACAGCTGCACACGAACACATCGTCGACACAGCTGTGCTCACTGCTTCATCTTTATCTAGATTCAAGATCGAGTGGTGCCATGCAAGGAAAAGAGAGCCGTCGCATAGAAAGATTGTCATTCTCAGCGTGTAGTCAAAGGTTTGCAGAGACCAGAGAAAGAAGGCTGATTCACATAAACTCTGTGTGGACTGGAACAATGAAAGTGGTATTTTAACACTAGCGCCTGCATAGTTTATTCTCTTCCCAAAGCATCTCTCACAACATGGATACAAAGTCCGTTACAAAATGAAAAGGTTGTTTTCTTTAATCAACAAAAAAAGTGGTAAAATATAATAAACAATAAAAACAATTACATCTGTGCAAGGTTTTATTCTACAGTTCAACCAGAAAGCTAAAAAGTCATTGTTTTTTCTTTTTAAACAAGACATCAAGGAAATCAACAAAATAATAAGAAAGGAGTCCCTGGGTGAAACGTCTGAAGCCACGACAGAGTGGAGGGTTTCAGATGAGAGAGCCCCATGTGTGTGTGTGTGTGTGTGTGTGTGTGTGCGTGTGCATGTGTGTGTGACATGTTAGCCGGCCCACAAGCTACCTTCAATGTGCAGAGTAGAGCCAGAGAGCACCGATTAACAAAAGCCACCTAATTAAAAACAGACCCATAGACAGGTTGAATGTAGATGCTGTTCATTGAGAAGACCCCTGCGGAAAAAAAAAAGGGCAGCAGAGGGTGTAGGTAGTGGGGGGGAGAGAGAAAGAGAGAGAGAGTCCTGGGTCACGGCTCAAGCTGTGGTCACTTCCAAAGCCAGTCCACGTGAAAAGGATATTTTTGTCGAACATATACTTTGTTGAATCATACATATTTTTTTCATAGAATTTTGTATAGGTTATATAAAAGGCTCTATTGGACCTAAAGCAAACAACCAATGCATGTGTCATTTTGCAATGTCCTTTAATTGTCTGTTAAACCATGTGTGGGGGGGGGTGTGGGTTTCTTAGTGAGAAGGTGACAGCCGGAGCGCTTTGTGTCTCCGTTCATACAGACGGGAAACGGGCAAGTCTTTTCATCCGGGACGCAGTGAAGCCCCCCGGACGGCTCGGAGGAGTCGGCACCAGCTTCAGGTGTCCATGCTCCCTGTGACCGTCTGCACCCCCCCCCCCCCCCCCCAACCACGCCGCCCCCGGAGGTCAATCCTCCAGCAGGTCTTTGTCCAGATCCATGTAGGGCTCGTCAATGTAGCTCGCTATGGCACACAGAGAAGTCCTGTCGGAGCCCAGCAGCACCGACACCGTCTCCTTCCAGTAGCTGAAGGGGATGCAGGAGCTCTGAGAGGAGGGAGAACAAAACTCTTTAGTTTACCCAATGCTCATTGTTGACAGTATCTTTATTGCTAGCTAACCACAGAGGGATGTAATAGATAGTAGCTGCACATAGCTGTCAAGTTAGACACACTAATCCATTTACCCTTTTTTATTTGTATTTTGGCAGTTCAACCTAAGCTAAAATAATAAGCCAATACAAATGTAAAAAACAGATAGCCATACTATTAAAAAGGACAATAACTTTCCCATCGAAACCTCTAAAAACATAATTTTAGATCCGCCAATTCCCGCATATTATTACTTTGCCGTACTTAGTTAATCAGAACTTAGTTAATCAGAACTCTTTAGTTCTGATGAACTAAAGAGCAGATCGCGTTCACACCGGAATAAGTCCCTGAGGGAGGGTTAGGCAAATGAAGCCACTGACGTCACTTCTTCTTCTTCTGCTGCTGCTGCTTTGGGTTTACTGGCAGGCCGCAAACAACTTCACAGCGTATACTGCCACCCGAAGTCCCCGGCCGGAAATCCCCGGAGTTGGGGACTGGCCTCAGTAGAAGCTGCTGGGACTCCCAGCAGCTTCTACTGAAGCCTTCCGAGTAAATCGGCAGAACGCCGACACCTCATCATCTCCACCGCTACCATGTTTTATTTTGTGTTGCGTTTGTGCGCTGGGCTAATGCTAATAATGCTAATGCTAATAATGCTAATGCGAGGATAATAAAATGGCGGCTTCACAAAACTTTTTGGGAGTTATACGGGGCGTGGTTTGCAATCCGCCCAGCCAATCAGAAATGGGAACCTTTTTCTCCCACGAAAGTACCTGCTCTCTAGCAGGGACTGAAAAGGGGGTGGAAAGGTTCTCACGAACTAAGTTCTAGTTCTGTATTTTTTGGTGTGAACACACATTTTCGGAACTATATCGTAACTATACTGGGAAAAGTACTCCGGTGTGAAAGCGCCTTTTGTACCTTGAATTATATCTAGAACCCTGGAATTAAAATAAACATTTAAAGCATTTTCCACCAGATGAGTCCATGTTTCTATGTGAGCCCTGAGGGGACAATACATGCCATATTCCTGGTTCCCTGCACAAAAAATGAATACACCCCCAAAATCAATGTGGTGGTGGTGGTTCATTGACACATCCCAGAAAGTGATAAATAATTCCGACTTATGGAAACAAACGGGAAATTCTTTAGCTTCAAATTCTTAAAATGTATGGATATAGGTAGTAATGATATAGACCTTTCACTCTGTGATGGAGGAATGTAATACAATTAATATTAAGTATTTTTAAAGTAAAATTTGTATGCAGAAATTCTTTCAGCCACTTGGGGGCAGCAGAACAAACAAATACACACTGTTGACATCACTATATAAAGCTAAATGATAAATGATGCAGGTCTACTTAGCTGGTTACTAACTGTATCTGCTGTTTCCTGCTGGACCAGTAGCATACACACTGAACACATCTGCGTGTTACAGCTAGAACAACGCTGGTGAGAGCCAAAAACAGTGAAATAACCAAAATGGAAGATTCTTATCAGCTAATCAGTAATGTTTAGTTTCATCACAAAAGGTCTAAAAGGATCAGGTGTGCAAGTTGCTTTTAAGCTCACGTGTTTTCCCCCCTGTCAGAATGATTTGAATATGCAACTGAACATAAACAGTCGTCAGGAGAGGGGACTTCCACATCACGCTGCGACTTGTTTGTGTTTAATTTATGTTCATGAGAGAGGGACAGCACTCACGTTCTCCAGACAGGTGCTGTCTTTGTCCTTGTTGAGGTAGTGGCGCTGCCAGAAGCGCAGAAGGTTGTGGAAGTTGTTGAGCAGACAGCCCGGGTACTTCTCAGCGTACTCCTTCTCCCGCAGGGCGTTGAGGTAGAAGGGCAGTTTAGCCTTTCTTCTGGCCAACATCAGGACCACCAAACTGGTGTTTAAACAGCTCACATTCTCCTGCAGCAAACATGGGATGGAGGAATGGATGTAGAAAGAAACAAGATTTGAGTTAGTCGAATAATTCCTTGTTGAACACAAGAGTTTCTGTTAAAGAGGCTCTCTTTTATGCTTTTTGGGTTTTCCCTTTCCGGTAGTGTGTTATTTAGGTTTCTGTAAATGTTAACCAATCACAGCAGACTGCGCTCTGGTTTCAGACAGAGGCTAAAAAGAGGTACTGCCAGTGTTTCCGCCAGACCAGGGCTGAGAGGGCGTCCACCCCGAGAGCGGGGGGGGGGCGGGGGGAGGGGGGTTGTGTGACGTCACGTCGTGTCACGTGACTTGAATTTTGAATTGAGCCGTCCCTTATAGATACTATCTCTTTACGTATTAGTGATGGGAATTCCGGCTCTTCTTAGTGAGCCGGATCATTTGGCTCGGCTCACTAAGAAGAGCCGGCTCTTTCGGCTCCTAAACGGCTCTTCATGTTACCACAGTTTACCACGGAGCCTCAGTTTTGCCGCTGCGAGGCTCCGGCACTAGCACCCCCCGTCAAGGCTCGCCGGCAGTACACTTTCCGTCACAGGAACACGCTTTGGTGGTGGCGAAAAGAATCCCACCAGACTCCTTTGCCCCTCCAACAGAGGGATGTCCTTGTCCTTTTTCCTTTTCCTCATTTCAAGCGATAAAAACTCGATCTTCTCTCGAATTATTATTTTTTTTGGACGCCCTCGGCTCGAGTTCAGGGTGTCAAATGACGGCAAGACGCCCCCCTGGGGGAAACACTGGGTACTGCAGCACAGGCAGTATGAGAAAATAAAACATTTTTGAACATTAAAGCATGGAGACATGTCAAAGTAGAGACAGAAAATAAAATGTTGACATGGCATAATATGTCCTCTTTAATAAAGGTCCAAAGAGAAAATGAAACGAGACCTGTGTGAGCGTCTGTACGTTGATGATGTTGACGAGTCGAAAGAGGAAGGCCAGCCTGTTCTCAACTTTGGCCATGTAGGACAGCAGACAGCATTCAGAGAGCACCTCCACCACTGGGAAATAAAACACTTAAATCAACACTTGAAAATAATAGGAAATGACCTAAAACACTATTGTAAATAGACCTATATCAAACACAAGCTATCAGATCTACCTATGACTGGATAATTGTCTGCAATCACTCCCTGATGGGCATTTGTAATGTTCCTTTTCCAATTCACACTAACTCTTTTTAGATATCAAAAAATGTGAAATATGGCATATCTCAGTTTTTAATGTCAAGGATGGAAAATGCTACGATTCCACTGCTTTATTGCCTCGCATCACAAAAACATACAAACTCATTCCCATACGGAGCCTTCTTCAGAGCGGTTTGCATTATTTATATAGCGTAAATTCGAAAGGGCTTAACAAAACGGGAATAAGGACCGGAATATAAAAGTCAATATCAATGACCAATCAAATAGAAACCCGGGATTTCTTTCATTAACCAAGTATCTTAACATTTATTTTCTAAGCGACGAGTCAACCTGATTTATTTTTCAAGCCCTGTTCACCTTTGACATCTTCAGTCTGGCTCTCGAAGCGGTCCAATGAGAGGGTGATGCAGCGCACCAGCATGTTGGAGTCCACCAGAGAGCTGTTGATCTGCGTCAGGAAGGTCTGAAACTACAGAGGAAACAAAACTATCAAACACATATGTTCATCCACAACTTACGCAGAGAACTAGTAGTAACATTGAATTTGTAGGGACAGCGTATCCATTTTGGAAACACATTTAAGGTCTGAAGTCATACTTTTTCTGGTGTGTTGACATATTTGTTGAATCTTTTGAAGGCATCAATGTTGAACTTCATGAGCTCTCCCAGCAGATCAAAGTAGCTCTGCAGGACGTCTCGAGACGTACAGCCGCTGTCTATGATGCAAAACAGGATGTGCTGTCGAGGGACGGAAACACAGAGTGAGCAGTCGTTCATTCAAAGGTCAGAAGCAAAGACAGTCTGTGCCATGTCTTCATGGGATGTGGTGATCGTCTTACCTCTAGTAGACCTCTCTTCAGGAGGAACATTTGGTCTGCATAGGAGGTGGCTCCTCTGAGAAAACTTTCCACTGCCCTTGCCTGCCAGAATCTGCATACACAACATGTTGAGAAATTCTTTTAAAAATAGCAGGATTCTTGGAGCTGACACTTAACTGCAATAACTGAGAACTTTCTGCTCCATAGTTTCTCTTGGACTTAAAATCACACTGTACATTTTACATTGATATACAACCCATAAGAACCCGGACCCATTTCTACTTTTGGGGAAATTAAGGGGAACATAATTTAGACTAAATAGACCACCTAGAACACATTTCTGACAAGTAACCCCCCCTAGTGTCAAATATCTGAAATGTGACATATGTGTCACATTGGGCTTTAATGGTAAAGTAACTCTTTTAACTTATAACTTAATTAATGAGGATGATTTGTTGGTTTAAATTAGTTTGAACATTCTTTGAATTGAAGAATAAAGAACATATTAACTCAATATAATTGAATCAGCTAAATTAACTGAGGAGATCATAATCATATTTCTAATTGTGCATTTGTCACTTTGGGTTTACTGTGAAAGTTTAGGGTCAAAGTCCCGATGGGACCAGTGTCACAGCGATGTTTGTCTCATTTGTTTCATATCAATTTGATCAAGAAATGTTTCCACAACAGGTTAAATGTAATAAAGGACATGTTATGTAAGCATTTTAATTCTTAAATGGCTTGAATTGTACCTTTAGCAACAAACAAAACACATGTGTTAGTCTGGCACATGGACATGTTGTTATGGGAACACAACATCACATGACCTGGACCAGGACCCACCAGACTGTTCAGTGTGTGTCACTCAGGGACTTCATGAGATAAAATAAAGGCTAAAGCTGTATAAGGAACTTTCCAGAACATTTAAAGTTCATGTGACACCCGTGTCACGGTGGGTCCTTATGGGTTAATATTCCATCCCTCACATACTTATGTATATATAATAACTTGCTTTATATCTTCTTATTGTTAATTTGTAAATTCAACATGTATATTTTCTACTTTCTTGTTTATTTCTAGTCTTTTAATTTGTATTGTACAATGCCATGTCTTTTTATGCTGCTGCAACACAAACATTTACCAAATTGGGATCAATAAAGTACTCTCTTATCTTAAAGGTAGGGTAGGTAAGAATGGAGAAACCAGCTCGAGTGCGCTAGAATTTGAAAGTACGCAGCCGAAAAAAATCTGCCCCTTCCTTCAGACTTCCTTACAGAGCCCCTCCTCCAACACACACGTACGCGCACATGACCAATGAGGGCACAAGATAAGTTTATGCACAGATGGAAGGCTGACAGGCAGGTAGGCCATCCAGTTATTTTAGCCGGGCCGGCTCAGATGATTGGTCGTACTTTTTACAGTACCACGGCTTCCACAGATTTTTTTATATATTTATTGTCAAAGCATTTAATATATTCATTGCTATCGGGATGTTAAGAGCATTCCATGGAATATAACAAAAAGTGTTTCTGAAGTGAATTACCTACCCCACCTTTAACATCTTAATGTGATGAATGTGAGTGTGTGTCCTGACCTGAATGAGGAGTCTGGGGGCTCCCTCTTCATGACGGTGAGCAGGCGTGTGAGGAGCCCCTTCTTCCCGTCACACACCAGGCTCCTGTCTGTGTTCACCAGCGCCTCCACCTCGGGGATGTTCGCCTTCATCGATATGGCACTCAGTTCATTCAGCTCCTGGCTGTTCAGCAGGAGGTATTTGTTCCTGGAAGACACGGCACACAATTTAAATCATAAATGTCTGTTTATGCTGTTTGAAGCTGGTATTTTGCACAGATAAAGATTATCACTAATAAGATTTGTATAATGCTATTTGTAGAATTAGATTCAAGTGGTGGCTGTGTGACCCGTGAGATGAAAACATTTCCAAGAACTCAATGCCGTGTTCATTCCAACAGTCAAAATGTAATAAACAAAGATAGATGTATACTCATTTCCATAATGTCTAACCTGTAAGTTATTCTTTATATTCATTTGTTGGCGTAAAGTCTTTTAAAAACAACATTTTAACGAAGGTCAAACACATTTATGCACACAAACTAATCACACAGCTGTTTAAACGAGGCAGTATAGAAGAACAAACACAACACTTATAAAACCACAATAACACAAAATCTATTATTACAGCTCTACAAGTATATTTATAAAAAAAATGTTTATAGAGTGCCACAGTGACGTCACACGCCTTAAGATCCATATTCAAAAATACAGATTCAAAATTGTAATTGTGTAATGACGTACAACGGCCTCGACAACTTCTGTAGTCCTATTCAGCCACTTGTTAACAACCATCGTTTTTCAGACACGTCAACTCTTCAGAAATCCCCAGTGGGGTCACTGCTGATGGATTTAATGTCGTAGAACAAAACGTGACCCGTCTCTTAAATGCGTCTCAACCACAGACCTTATTTCCAGCTATTTTCCAAAATCCTATGGAGAAATTGCGTTGCTTTTTTGTCGAGGGAACCGGAAGTGGTAAAATGCTAACTTACTTCCGGGTTTTAGGACGCGTCACTGTGGCACTCTATAGTGATGACATGTTGAGATACGACAATAGACATTCAAAGCTTCATTAGGAAGAACTTTGAAAGAGGCTTCAAACGCTTTCTCAACAAACATAACTTGAAAAAGAGAAATCAGATTAAAGATAATTCAATTAAAGTTTACTCACTCGTGGTGATCACTGAAACTCTGAAGTAGCCTCAAGAACTGGATCTTAAAGGATATTTCCTGCACAATCAAAAATGAAGGGTTTTAATGTTTATGTTCCATTTTTAGTTGAATTGCTCACATCCAGTTTCAAAGTGATTTAAAGCTCATACTGGACTACAGTCGCAGTTCTCGTTCTGCCCGTGGACCACGTGGTTGGACGCCGTGTATTTCCTCCAGATGAGCTTGTCGAACAGGTTGTTGAGTCCCGGGATGAGACGAAACTCAGCCAGCATCTTGTGGACCTGAACACACACACACACACACTTTAACTGTGCCTTGATTTAACATTCCAGTGTAAATGTGAAGCATAGGAGGAATGCGTGCGGTTACCTGGTTCCTCTGTCGGCCCATCAGAAGGACACACAGCACGTAGAGCACCTCCACTTTGTACATGATCTCATGGACGATCTTCATGGACTGAGGCAGTCGATGTCTCAGAGGACTGGTGGCCAGGGAACTCTCATCTGATGACTCTGGAGGGGAGGAAAACATTACATGTCACTTGTTAGACGCTTTATCCAAAGCGACGTACATACATGAGCGATTTGGGGTGAAGTGTCTTGCCCAGGGACACAACGACATGCTGACTGCAGTGGGAATCGAACTTGATATCCCCTGATTCGAAGTTCAGCGCACTACCCACTGCCTCCCACATATTTATATATCAAAGTTCTGAGTATTTTGAGCAATGTGAAGAACCATTAGCCCGCATTGGCTAATCCGTCGCTACTTCCTCACTGCGAGTGGGACCCAGGTTTCCCTCAACAGAAACACACCCGTTTGCTGTCCTGGCTACAAAATAAAGGGCCATCTCCCCATTGAATTCAGGAGAGAAGAAGATCTATGCATTTTCTCTGAAAACCCACCTATTTTGAATGCACCTTGGCCAATAATACATTTAAATTCTCACTTCTGTATGTGGCACTTACAGTTTGGCTCTTTGAAAGCTTTTGTACATATATTTTGCTTTTTGAGTTTGTATCTTCATGGTTGAATACACCTAATGTATGTTTCTTTGTATAAAAGCGCCAGCAACGGTTAAAGGTGGGGTAGGTAATTCACTTCAGAAACTTTGTTATATTCCATGGAATGCTCTTAACATCCCGATAGCAATGAATAAATGAAATGCTTTGACAATAAATACATAAAAAAATGTCATCTGTGGAAGCCGTAGTACTGTAAAAAGCACGACCAATCATCTGAGCCGGCCCGGCTAAAATAACTGGATGGCCTACCTGCCTGTCAGCCTTCCATCTCGTGCACAAACTTATCTCGTGCCCTCATTGGTCATGTGCGTGTTCGTGTGTGTTGGAGGAGGGGCTCTGTAAGGAAGTCTGAAGGAAGGGGCAGATTTTTTCCGGTTGCGTAGTTTCAAGTTCTAGCGCACTCGAGCTGGTTTCTCCATTCTTGCCTACCCTACCTTTAACTTCCAAAGTATAAATTAAATGCTTTTGCATCTTTGATAGCTCGACGACTAATTCTTCTTAAATGAAAGGATGAATCCCCCACCCACCCATACTCACTGGATTAGAGATCTGTTGCAGTTTTTGCAACTAGAGAAAATCAGGTCCACTCTGAAGGGATCTACTGATAGGTTTTATAAGGCCTGGCAGCCATTGATCACACACGTAGAGAAATGCAAGCTGGATTTAACACTTTGAAGATGTTTAGATTTGAGTGTTGCTTTTGTGTCTATTATGAGAACTTGTATACTTATCTCATTTACGCCGTTTTTTTTCAAAATGCTCTATGTATTTATCACTTACTTTCACTTTTTATTTAGTTGTTTTCTTTTAAGCTGGGATGGGGGTGGGGGGTATATTTGATCTGTTTTTTTGGCAGTTTGGTTGAAATGTACACTTTTGCATCTACTGTATGTATTTGACAGCTCAATGACATTCTGTATGATTTTTCTTTGTGTTAAAAGCGCCAGCTAAATAAAAAGGGATTGTAATGAACCAGCAGCACAGCGGTGTCTCGTCTCACCTGTACTGCTTTGTTCCGCCTCCTCTGTGGCCATCTGCATGAGGGCGTCCAGCACCAGCGCGTTGTCCAGCCACGTGTACCAGTCCTCCAGCTCCTGCAGGAAGTTCGCTCCGGTGGCTTCAGACACCTTTCTAGTGGCCAGCTTACACAGACGCTCAATGAAGCCGGGGATGTTCAGCAGGGTAACTAGAGGAGGAATGAGATTGATATTTGATCAGAATCAGAATACTTGAATTATCTAAGGGCAACATTGTGACCGTCAAAAATCGTATAGTAAAAATGCTTATATAAACACGAGTTCAAATAACAATCTGCAATAACTATATATAATAATTATATTTGTATAAACATAAGAACTTAAAATAAAAAATGTCCAGTAAAAGATCAAATGAAACAAATCTGTGAATAGATTAAAAATGATAATAATGATGAAAAATATTAGAAATAAATATCGAACCTGAATAAATACAGTATATGTATTACGGCCCCTACACACGGCGGCGTGCGTTCACACTTCAACGCTTCTGCCCATTCACTTTGAATGGGGTGACGTCACGATTCGCCGAACTGCATTGTGGGAGCAAAGCGTAGCTTTTCTCGCGGTGCTCGCTGCAAAAGTAGAGCAATGTTCTACTTTTGAAGCTGAGGCGGAGGCGTCGGCCAATCAAATCCCGCGTATACAAATCTGCCAGTACAAGCGCTAGCCAATCAAACCGCGTGTATGCTGGGAGAGCCAGACCGCAGTTCATTTCCTCATATGCCAAAAAATGGAGGAGAAAATAATCGTAGCGGTAGGGAATCACCCGGTGCTTTCAGTCCCTGTTCACCTGCCGGGATACAAACCGGAGGAGCCAGGCATGGAGGGAGGTGGCAGAGACAGTGGGTGAAACTGGTAGGTTTTCGCCTGTTTGGGGAGTTTATATCCAGTGTACTTCGTTTGAATGGACAGCAGGCATAGACAGCATTTAGCCAGCATGGAATGTTGCGTAAAATAGCACCATAGACATTAATGTCATAAATGTTCACCATATAAAGTGTGACATGTAAAACCTTTTATGCAATTGACAGCAGAGATTCATGTGATTGGTTGTTGGTCGCGTTGCTCGCGTAAACTCCCCAAGCTCAAGACACGCCCACCGCCAAGCGGCAACGCACGCCTCCGTGTGTAGGCGGCATAATAGTATAAGTTAAAGTAAAAATGTCCAGTATAAAAATATTATAAAATATGTATGTAAACATTAAAAGTGAGCACATAGTACTACAATATACTGTATAGCATGTTCATTGCAATATCTACAGTGGTGTATTGGTTTTTTTAAATATATAAATGCTGAATTGAACAGACTAAAAGGGTTTGGCTGCTGATGGTTTAATCCCTCCTGGAGTCTATTTTCTCAGAGTGCCTGAGGGAGAGGTTATTAAGTTATATGGCCACAGGCCGCAAAGACTTCCTGTGGTGCATCTTAGTGGAATGAGTCCATTATTGATCCACTCTTTTATCATGGACCAAAATACATATCAGCGTGGACTCAGAACCCTGAACTCAACCCACCCTGGTTGACCTCGGCCCGCGAGGGGCTGGCGATGCGTTTCTGCTGGGCGTTTTTGGCCAACAGGGTGTGCTTGTCGTCGTTTCCCACATCAGGTTCTGAGATGGTGACGGACAGGATGCGGCAGAAGTTGGCGAGCTGCTGTTGGTCGAAGCTTTGGACCAGGCCGGACAGGTTGGGGATGCCCTCTAAATGGATCATCTCCTGGAAAACACACAGTTAAAAAAACTCTTAGCAAACTGAAAGCAAATCTGTCATTTACCACTTTACCAGTTTTGGGACTGAACCTGACGGACTCTGTTTCTTCATTTAAGCTTCTCAACACTAAAATGTAGTTTAAATGTTGGCCATGAGGGTTGTGCACTACTGTAGGTCGCCATTGTCAGTAGGTTTGTCTGTGTATATGTGTATCTGCAAACTGTATGTACATACAGGGTTCCTGCAGGTTTCACCAACTCAAATGTAAGACTTTTTAAGACCACTTTGAATAGAATTTAAGACCTATTTCACGGCAAGAAAGTATGAAGAAATACGTCCCATAATTACTTACAAAGTAAATGTATTCATGTTCAACATAAGAACGATGACTGAACATAACAGTACACAGAAATGTGTTAGCGTGTTAGACAAAAAGTGTGTGTGTGTGTGTGTGTGTGTGTGTGTGTGTGTGTGTGTGTGTGTGTGTGTGTGTGTGTGTGTGTGTGTGTGTGTGTGTGTCAAGAGCTATATTCAGAGCTCTGCTGTCTTCATGCTGTTGTATGATTGATGTTTAGCTACGGTATTTAGCGTCCACAGCACCTCCGCTTTTAGGGTGGACGTAGACCCAAATGTCGCCCGGAGGTCCCCCGATGTTGTTGCGGGAGCTGCTGCACTAGCTAACGCTGCATTAGCAAAACAAACGCTAATTTCTTTTGCAAAAAGGTGCAGCGGGCTTCAAACATGTTCCCCTCCACTGGTTTCAACCAAGCACTAAATTCGATGTTTTCCAACCAAATACGGTTGAACTTACACTTCCCCATATTTATTTGTAAGTAGATTCGAAGATACCTGAGTTTCTGACTGCCGCTAGCTGAAGCTTGGTTGGTTGCTAGGTTACTAGCTGGGTGTTCTCCGATAAGGGGCCGGGGGAAACAAAGTTAGTGATTACTGGTTCCATGTTGATTTATTTCAATACAGATTGTTGGGGGGGAACTGAAAGGCTCTTACCGTACTGGTTACTTTGCAGCCCGGACATTTCCCCCAAAACACATTTAGACGCGATCGCTACACAGAAGTACCTTTCAAATCCCATCATTTTTAAGAGCTTCTAAATCATATTTAAGACCTTTCTTATTTTTTTTTTATCATATTCAAGACCTTTTTAAGGCCTTACATTCTGATTATCAAATGTAAGACTTTTTAAGACCCCGCGGGAACCCTGTACATAGCCATCTGTTATTATATAAATGTAAATGTAGTGTGTATGATTTTTGTATCTTTGTGGAACAGCAGGACAGAGACAGAAGAAATGTCCTTGCGGGGACAATGAAGTATATCGTTTGGTATCGTATTTCAAATTCATTTTTATATGCTGAATACCCTGTGAGGTTTTGTTCATTGTTGTTACCTAAAGAGTATAATTGTATAAAGTATTATATTTGCTTTTGAAGAGGTTACATCATAGATGTCCCCGTTTTAAATTATTTCAACAAGTCAACTACAAAAGATCAAGAGAATACATTGTTGTCAAACTGCTCCTTGCTGTCTTTACATCACTTCACAATAAGAGAACATAGCAACCACATTTTTGCAATCGATATGAAGCTCAGACTTGTAGATTATTAAAATGCACAAGCTACAAAAACAGTGTCTACAAACTCTCCACAAGCAGCTTGAGGGAGTAGCACTTTTAAAAACGTTTTAAGATTTAGTAACGCACATAATGTATAAAGAAAGCAGAAACACAGACTATGGAGTTCAATGATTTTAAAGTAAGCTGAACAATTAAAAAACGTCCACGAAGCAGAGCTAAACTAATGATATGTATTTTAAAATATTCAAGAATGTCAAGAGAAGTTCAAGCTGAAAACAGCATGCTTCTAATATTAGAGCATAGGTGTGATGTTTGGGTGTTTGCAGCTCTGCAAGGCACAACCATTCTAGCATGAGAGGCGTTTGAACATGGACAGTAGAGAGTTATATAGACATAACAAGACGCATGTATCGGGTGAGCAAAGATTTAAAGGCTCGTAAAACTCAACGTCTGTTGCTGGTTTGACAAATGAGTCACGGCATAAATCACAAAGTAACCTTTTCATTTCCGAGGTGCCATAAACAAATACAAGTTTAACTCTGACCTTTTTGACTCCGAGAATATCTTCAATTAGAGTAGCGGTCTGTAGGAAGGTCTTCTTGTTTGTCATCAGGGTGAAGAGAAACAGAACAAAGTCATCCCTCGCTGCCAGGCTCTTCGTGACCCCCTCCGTCTGTGAATTGATACAAATAAAATGAGCACACACACACACACACTGTAATGTTGTTTTAGAAAGATAAAAGGCACAAACGCACTGCAAAACGGCAACTTCTAGTTACACACACGCGCTACATTGAAGCACGGTTTGATGCACCTCTGACATTTCTCTGGCATTTACCAAATGTAACAGGATACTTACACATATACAACAGTTGTAGAGAACACTAAGGCAGTCCTTGACCAAGTCATCATTCACTGTGGGAACAGAAACACACACGTTGTAGTCAAATTGAGAACTTATCATGAATTTTAAATCTATTATATTCAGTTAAAAATGTGTTAGCTTCCCAATAAAAGCAGATATATTCACAAATGTGAAGTCACAACTTACTATTGGGTTTTTTCTTCTGCATAGTTAATGTGGGTCTCATCAAGATCTCCACAAGCAGCTTCAGGGAAATAGAGAAATTGGTATTCAGTGCTGTGAGCAAATACTAGTAAGTGCTGTGCTACACATGACGACTGATTCTCCAGTAGGAAGCCTCTGTACGTCCAATAATTACAGAGAGTCAAGCACCAGGAATGTCCAACTTACATCGACTCCACCAAAGAGGTCAAAGGTGTACGTGTTGGGGAAGGTGGATTCCTGAGCGGTCTTCCTGTCCTCCGTGACGAAAGACATGGCCTCCATGGAGAGCTGGGATGATAATACCTGACAAAAACACATTGACTACTTGTAAAGAAAAGTCCCACAGTAAAAACACTCCGCAATAAATGTCAGGAACGAGTAATTCCACGACTAGTACTACAAGTGTTGTGAGGGTACCTTAAGAAAGCTGTGGGCCTGGGAGAGGTCACTGTTGGGATGGCTGCTCTCGTGGAGCCTCTGCAGCAGCGCGGGGATGCCATGCCACTTGGCTCGTTTATCTCTCTCCTGGAGCAGGCCTCCTGGTAGCTAGGACACGCAAACAGAGGTAACCTTGAAACCTTAAACAAGTGCAATAGACACAGTGAAAAATGTATGGGTGTTTGCATTTGCATTCAGACACGTGAATGCCAGTCTGGAATCCTGAGAACATTTGATATGTTTGGTCAGCTGTTTGTGTGAGTTTGTCGCCATGATTGCTATCTGTCCTGCACAATGTTCTCTAGTCGGTCCTTATAGTGGCTTTATGACTGATTCAAGTGTTGAATTGGCAGCGGAGCTCTTTGGGGAGACAAATCACTACGATTGGCTGTTCAGTTAAGCAAATCAGTGTGCGAGAAAAGAAACGCATACGATGTAAACAAACAAACAACTAAAATCATGAGGCAAATAAAGAGTCTCTTGTCATTGCTCATCTTCATCTCATCGGATCATTTCATTACACAGATATTTTCCCAACAACATCGCAGCCTTGAATGAAGCTAAGTGGTGAGGGTGAGTGGTGTGAAAGTCGCCAACAAACACTGCTAGAATCTAATAATATTATGCATTATGAGGCCTAACCAATTCAATACGAAAACTCAGATAATATGTAACACTGGAAAACCTGTGTGCAACTTTGAACACAGACAAAAGGTCTCAGATAGTAGGAAGGCTGTGAGTCACTTTAAATAAGATTACTTAAGGAAATCCTTAGTTCATGTAGCACAATACTGCAACAAGGAGAACAGAAACTAAAAGTAGCTTCAGCTGATTTGCATTGCTGTAAATGTAAAACTTGTTGACAAGAGAATTGTAACTTCGCTCAAAGTCAACGGGTGTAAAAGTCATGCGGAGAAAAGCCATAAAGGAACAGCTGAATCTTGAAGTTAAAGCCAGCAATAAATAATGTGGCTTTTTTTATTTTAAAGGATGCAGGAGAAGAGAAGACATCTTCTATATTTGACTAATCTATTTATTAAACCACCAAGTAATTAATGTATGCTTTTCTGAATGGTGTCAATTGCCATCATCCCTGTTGAAGCCATTAAAAACAAAAAGGTGTGACAGCATTGTGACTTTTTAAGAGATGCCTGAATTACATGAAACATCTTGACCTTGCATTGCTCTCAGTGGAATGGTTATGTTCAAAATGTTGTGCACAGATTCCTGATGGTTATAAAGGGAGACCATTTGTAGATCACTTCCTCAATAGAGCGTATTAGTTTGATCCCAGCAATGCTCCAATTGTCAACACCCACACAAATGGTGCTTAACTACCTTTAAGAGACAGTATGGCCCAAACAAGAAACTCACAAATGTCAGACGTTATCTTTTCTCATTCAAGCTTTTTAATAATCACATAAAACATAAGGCAAAAGCGCAAATCCGTTCCAAAAACAGACAAAAGAAATACTAACTTTCCATTATAAAAATAAGACAACACAGAGAATCATGCAGCCCAATGAGCAGCATTACAAAAGTTTCAAAAATCAGGGGTATTTTAGGATTTTTGGGGCTTTAGGATCACACCAAAATGTCACCTCACCACCGAGGTAATACCTTGAAAACACCAAGTCAGCAATGACAATAAACGCCACGAGACTGACTGCAAAGGGATACATGGTTTGGTTTTATGAGCTTTGTAAAGGGTGTAAGAAACAAGTTGAAATAAAGATGCAGTGTCTGAATGTGTCAAAATGTCACGTCAGGTGCGACATCCATCATCTGCATAAGCGCTTTGAGCACCAGGAAAAGCGCTATAGAAATAACATGTATCATTATTATTATAAAGCCCTGTCAACATCACAGTTTATGTCAACTAACGTCACTGTTCAGGGGTGTTTAGTAACTAAGTGCATTTACTTAAATTTGAAGTATTTCCATTTTATGTTACTTTGTTCTTCTACTCCACTTCGATTCAGATGGAAATATAGTACTTTACTCCACTACATTTATTGAATACCTTTCGTTACTTTGCAATTCATATTAATGACAAACAATATAATCAACAATTAAATAAGACTTTAGTTACACCTAGAATAAATTGACATGTTACCCAGCAGAACATTAAGTAATTAAAAGCTCCACATTTACCAGCACTTGATAAACACATCAATAATTTAAATCAAAACGTATAATATATATTAATCTGAAATGTGCCATTCCGTATAATGAGTACTTTTACTTTTGGTACTTTAAGTGTATTTTGATGCCAATACTTTTGTACTTTTACTTGAGTAACATTTTGAATGCAGGACTTTTATTGTAACAGAGTATTCCTACACTCTGGTACTTCTACTTTTACTTATGTACAAGATCTTGTACTTCTCCCACCTCTGTCAGTGTTAGATAAAAAACAACCGAACAAATATATGCTCCAAAGTAACACATATCGGTTAAATGGTGCTGTATTTCCATGCAGGAAATACAAATAAACCTGCCAAGTGTAAGTAGTGCAGACAGCTGCCTCTCCATGTAAGGGAACGGTAGTTATTGTGGTTTGGGTCGTTACGTCATCACCTGAGCTGTTCAGCTGGCTTAGCTAGCTAACGTTAGCTGACGTTGGCTAGCATTAGCAAACGTTACTGCGGTTTACTACATGATTTAAGCGATTATGAAATGTAACAATGGGCTATCTGGTATCACTGATTCCCTTACTATCTCATAAAAACCATAACAGTATGTCAACATACCAGATCAGAGCGTTATGTAGCGTACTTACTGGCATATAATGCTAAGCTAATTCAGTGCTAACAACAAAAGACCAACTTGAAGCGGAGCTTGCTTCATACACTTTGTTCGAATGCAAACGTTATTTGCCTCGTCAGCGAGCAAATATCATTATCCAACACTCAATAATGTCAAAGCTTAGTGTTTGCATTTTTAAAACACCCTATTAATGTTGTAGCTAGCTGTAAAGCCGAAGCTGACACGAGCGACTAGAGCTCCATCAAGTCTCCCCGACAGCGTCTTCATATTCGGGCTGCATTCCAGCCGCAAGCCCCTGGTCTCAGTGGACCAGCGTTCATGTGCCTTTACTGTCGAAACATGCAGTGTTTCTCTTACCTGCGTCCCTCGACTGAACCCCTGGCCGGTGATTTTACTAGCCGTGAACTTAGTGACGATATTGCCAGTGCAATGTCTTCGTTTTCCTCCAGTACAGGGGGACTCGGACCCCATAAGCGTCGCCATTATTTCTTCTTCCTGAACTGAGCTACTCGGCAGGAAGTGGAAGGCTTTGATGAATTACTGGAGGTAATGAAGCGGCATCTGCTGGCGGAGTTGCACACTGCGAGAAGTGGCGTCAGTGGTGTATACTCTATTATGGTTTTAATGGTTTTGGTTTAAATGGTTTTGCACGATCTAATAATACACAAACAGATAACAAATGACAAGCAGTGACGGGCGAGGCAAAAAACCCATTAGGCTTATTTAAAGCCTCTACCTAAATAATGTAGAAAAACACAATGTTCTATAAAACACAAGATCAATATACAAACAATTGCTTGAACTTAACATTTTAACAAAATAACACTCAAACCAGGCATATTTTTTTTTATTTGAAAATTGATTTTCGTGTAGTTTTGAACTGGACAGACCTTCATCCGTTTCAGGGGAACAAAGATCTGGAATGACCTTCAAATCCAACCAAATCTGTACCTTGCTGCATTGCCAAGGAAATCAGGCCAGGGCCAGGCCAGTGTTTATTATTATTGTCAAATGTTCCAAAATATTTTATTGGATACCAATAACACAACCATGACAACAATCATATACAGTATAACAACAATAATATTTACATTTTTCATATGGCATTTAAACAGCATGCTCATATGTGGTTATAAATAAGGACATAGACAGTGGCAAGAAAAGTAGGTGAAAACCTTTGGAATAATTTATGTATACATTTGTTCTAAAATATGGTCTGATCTTCACCTCAGTTGCAATATTCAACAATCTGTTTGAACTAATAGCACACCAATTATTGTTTGGTTCTTGTCCATATTGAATACATAATTCAGACATTCACAGTGTAGATTGGAAAAAGTGTGTGAACCCCTAGACTTCAACAAGAGCTAATAGGAGTTAACAATGTCTGTAGTTATAAATAAGGAGATACATTCAATTTTTTAAACCAAATGAGATCACTGACCATGAGGTCACTCCTCCACTCTTTAAAACAAACACATTCTTCTTGCTGACAGACAGTTTATCACCATCGACTGTATAAATAAAGCTCCAAACATTGTAGTGTCTCAGCCCTCGTGCCCCTCCATGACCTCTCTCTATGGCTAGCCCAAACGGCAGCTGAGCCATGACAGTGTGTGGCTTCACTTTATCTGTGAGACTTGTTCCAGGCTGACCCTCTGTCTCTCCTCATGTGTCCCAGCTGTGATCATTGCCCTCTGTCATCTGTAGGTACGAGGTGATGGCCTCCCTCAGCCCCTCGCTCACCAGAGAGTTGTCTGACTCTGTCCTCTTCCTCCTGAAGATCGCTGACCTGGAGGAGACAAGACAGGATGTTCAAAAGGGCTCATTGCAATGCGACTATGACCCTGACATGGATAGAATGCTTCTAGCTGGTGCGTAAATTAACAGTAATTGTCATGGGCTGCATTTTGTAGCTTTTATTTATCTGACGTATAGGTTAAAGAAACATCAGTACAGGAACATTCTGCTCTATGCTATTACACACTGTCAAGTCTGTCAGATATCTTGTTAACCACAGTGTTATCTGTTGGATTGTCTGTTAGTGTTGCACTGTGTTATGGACCAGGTATAGGGGGACACAACGTCAGAGAAAAAAAGATTGATTTCCAGCCCAAATGCAGAAAACAGAGTCTAACTTGTGGTAAGGGTATTAGTTTTCTACATTTTGACTTTATTCTCTAAATTGGTTTTTTATTAGCAATATTTTTTACTTTATCCTCAAAATGGTATTTAAACCTATTCATGACCATTTTGACTTTATTCTTTACATATCTTCTTCACTACTTTTTATTTCTTAACCTCTTTTTGCCCCTCTATGCCTTGCCCTCTCTAACTGTCCGTAATTAAGGCTTATTTTACTCAGCCCTGAAACACAAACGTCAGTACAGTTGAATCAGTGTCTGAAGATAATAAGCTTCACATCAGGTTCTTTAACCACCAGGTGCTCATGCTCTACTGAAATAGAGTGACATCTTGTGGCAGTCGTCAGTAGGAGCAAAAGAGAGTATGCCTCACCTGCTGATGTCCTTCCAGTTGATAGTCGGCCTCCTGATGGTTATGGGTACAGGCCTGTCCTCTGTGGGGTTGTCTAAACCCTGGATGTGGCAGGGCCCCGTCAGCCGGACACACAGCCCTCCTGCTGATTCTGTGATGGAGAAAAAACATTTTAGTATCTTACTTTTTAGAGAAGTCTCTGGTGAATTCAGGAATGAGCATTATATCCTGAGTGCAGACCTGAGTAGTGTTCCACCAGGTGATGCAGGGAGGGGAAGGTGACACCTGGAGAGATGTAGACCCAGCCGTTTTCGAGCTGAGGGATTCGGTAGTGCTTTACACTGTCCATGTACGAAGAGCTGTTCCTACTCAGCACAGACAGCGAGTAACAATCTAAACAAAGAGACAGCACACAGAGGCAGCAGTTCAACTACACGGCTCTTGAGTCTTCATTTAGAAAAGTACAGATTTGTTTCCCCTAGCCTTCCAAAATCATTAGTCAAGTTGTTTCTAAGGGCACTTAAAGGAATACTTTACCCCCAAAATGATTATATGTGTATCAATTACTCACCCCGTGTTAACCTTACATTCATAAAGAAAACGTTATGGCATATGTATATTTATATCATATAATTCAAATTGAAGTTAACACAGGGAAGTAGTTTATACACACATGATCATTTTGGGGTTACTTTTTCCTTTAAGCCTTCAACATTGTTGTGACTTGGTTGAATATGTTCCTAAAGCAGTGGAAGAAACAGAAGCAGCGCTCGGACCTCTGTTTGACTCTGACTCTCGGATCATGAAGGCTCCACTCTGGTTCTGAGGCCGCATCAGCAGCTCCACCGCCTTGTACCTGCTGATGTCTTTGAACAGCCACCTGCACAGAGAAGAGAGACACAGTGAGTCAATGTGAACAAAATAGGTTGTTTTTCAAGTTAGGAAAAACCCACTGAAACAGAAACAGCATATTCCCCACTGGAGGAGGGCTGATGTCAGAACACATGAGGCTTGTTCCAACCCTCTTTCTCCCACGACACCTGCCACCTGCCGGGGGACTCCCCACCTCTCATCTCACTTCTCCTCTGCTGCTGCCAGTGGGGTGCATTTACTCAAGTACTGTACTTAAGTTCAACTTTTAGGGACTCCACATGAGTATAACAAATTCCTTTCAACTTTGTACTTCCACCCCACTACAAATGAGGTACATGGTGTACTTTTACTCTACTACGTTTATTTAACACCTTTAGTTATTTTCCAGATTCGGAATAATAATGTGAAAAATAATCAAATCTTAAATCAGACTTTAGTTCCACCTGGAGTAAATTCACAAGCTACCCTGCAGTATACAAAGTCATTCAAACTAGCTGCACCTTTACCAGCTTTGATAACACTTTAACGATCAATGATTATAATCAAAACATATATTTTATCCAAGCCAATCTGCAAAAAGAGTACTTTTGGTTTATTTGGATGCCAATACCTTTGTACTTTTACTTGAGTAACCTTTTGAATGCAGGACGTTTTACTTGTAACAGAGTATTTTCTACACTCTACTAAAGTACAAGATCTGAGTATTTCTTCCACCTCTGGCTGCTGCCACACACACACACACACGCACGCACGCACGCACGCACACACGCACACTATAGTAACAGACATCCATGTTCTCCTGACAGTGACCCACCTGTGTGTCACCTTGGCGGTGTAGGTGGTGGGGATGTAGCTCTCAAGGCCTGTGGTGGTGGATCTGACCATCAGAAAATCACTGTCACTGTTGGAGAGAACAGGCAGTCATGAGTAGCTGTACAGGTGAGAATAAAAGGTGAAAGTGATTATAAAAGCTTCACGTACTCTGACAGGACGGTTACTTGTTCTCCGATGCACATTGTTAATTCTGTACTCTCAAAGGACGGGTAGTTACAGAGGGAGACAATCACGTTGTCCTGCGGCGCTGCAGAGAGAAGAAGGAGAGGCATGTTGTTACGCTTTTCTTAGTTTGATTTTCTGTGGGGATGACTTGTGTTGACAGAAGTACTCCTCTACTTAAGTTAAAGTATAAATGCTACAGTATGGTCTTTGAATACTCCAATGATTATAAAAGTGCTGGTATCAAAATGTAGTTAGAGCACAAAAAAATGTAATCGTTCTGCACAATGTCCAATTTCAGAATAATATAAAATATAGAAGAATGATCAGCTAAACGTGCTTCAAGAATCCAAAGTAAGAGGACTTTTTTTGCAGGATGGATCTTTTCACAGTATTATATTATAATGGTTGTTATATTCTCCTGTTTCTATATGTGTAAGAGTATTTTGGTATTGTACTTGGTCAATGTGGACCAAATGTAGGTACTTGAAATACTTTGTAGATTATTAGAACAGTACTGCATACCATATCAGCATATCATGTGTACAATGTATCTGTGAGTGTTCAAATAAATGTAGTGGAGTAACTATACAAATGATACTAGCCTCTATGTTGTGGAGTAGATGTACAAAGTTGTATTAAATGGAAATAATCAAGTAAACTACAAATATATTAAAAAAAAGTACTTGAGTACCTAACATTTTGTACTTAGTTACTTTCTACCACTGCTTTGGGGATATACATACGTGGTGATTCAGGCTCAGGAGAATTTTCCAGGATTGTGAGGTTGGATCGACATCTGATGGGGCAGGTCCCCATGTTCTGTCTTATGATGATCAGAAAAGGAACTTATTTCTGAAAAACAGAAGCACCGGGTGAGGAAAATGTCTTCAGAGGTCTTTGAAAACCGAAAAACTGAAAAACTGAATTGGTTCTCTAGTTGTCACGCTGAGACTGAAAGTGCTTACAGGCACCACACAGTGTTACCAGGCAGTGAGACGATACAGGAAGCCGCCTCACCGCAACCAGAGGCTCTGATATCCTGTACTCAGTTTCCATGCAACTACTTTGCAAGGAATAAAATCTACCTAACATGAAATATGTTAAAAAAAGATGAATAGAGATGATTTTATACTTATTATGCAAACTGTTTTTCAATTTCAAGGGACCTTTGAATAAAATATCTAAAATATAATTTAAATATATTGGGCTTTTTAACATTTGACTTGTTAAAGACAACTTTTCATATTAAGACCCTACAAACTATAAAAATAAACAAAATGTGTAAAAATAATACACATCGACAGAATGCAAAAAAATAAAATAAAAGGCCTAGAAAATACAACAATTATAGGAAAAAACATCAAATTAAACTTAATTATATAGCACTTTTCATACACAAATGTAACTCAAAGTGCTTCACAAACCAAATACATAGACAGTTGACCAAAAATAAAAACGATCTCCCCTTCCCAGATAATAACCAGAGCGAAACATAGCGGTGTGATTTTACTTCAAACCAACACAGGACTGAATTAAACAGGAAAAAAAGTGTAAAATAAGAATAAATCAACAGTTAAAAGCCAAATTAAAAGAGAATGAATGATACTGACTAACATAAGAAATACTCTTTATCTTAGTTTGTATTTATTTCATATAATTCACATCATCGGGCAATACGTTTACTCATATTGTGGAGTAATAAGTCATTTAACTGCAAATATACAATACAAGTTATCAGACAAAGGGTATTCTTACAGTAAAAGTTATTTAAGGAAAATAATAAAAACTACTTTCATGCAAAAATACCACAATCAGAGCAAGTACTCACCTTTCTTTCTGTATTTAAAAAATGCGTCCACAAATTATTTCCCACACAAGCAGTGAGTCCGACCCCTCTCAGATCAAAGTCCTTAATGATAAATGCTGGTCTCTCTGCAGCACACACACACAGAGGGCAGACTGTGAAATGCGTCCTCCCAGGCCTGCAGATCAATCACAGAGACTGTGCTCCCTCCTCTGAACACGGCTGTGTTTTTGCAGCTGTTGATAGAGAAGGCTGAGTGAAGAGGCTTCCTGGCGGCCTTTTGTATGTCACCCTGCTGCAGCTTCCTGTGACGCTCAAGACCTTCACATCCGGACTCAGAGCAGCTTGTGTTGATCTCTCAGATGCAGAGTGTTTTCACTGACACTGCATCACTTGTTTATGGAATGAACTACGTAAGCAGCGTTCACATACATGACCCATGTGATGCAGACAGTATGTGTTCATTTGATCTGCCTTTAGCTGAGAAACACTGAGGCACATTTTCCGTGTCAGTCCCATCACGTCCAGTTATTGGTGGTCCTGTTGAACATCAGATAAGATAAGATAAGATAAGATAAGAACCTTAGCCGCAGTGCATGGGTTGTCAGGGTGCATGGGTTGTCAGGGGAACCTTCGTCATGCTGAAGCATGACGAAGGTTCCCCTGACAACCCATGCACTGCGGCTCCTATTTATCATCAGTCGTAAAGGGTATCCATCATGCTGACCCTGCAGAGTCAAATGGTAAAAGTGGAGCAATTTGACTGGCAATATTAATGCGTTTTGTGCTCGTAAATCATGAAGGTGCAGTGGTGGAATTTAAGTATGTACATATACTCAAATAGCCGACTGTTGGCTCCTTAAATACATGTTTCCGTTGTCCTTTTCATGACATGTTGCTCTTCTTCTCCACTGTCAGAGAAACATATTGTACTTTTCACTCTACTTAATTTATCTCACTGCTATTGGTTATTGTACATATTCGATTTTACATAGAAAATGCATTGAGTGCCTTTTACAGTATATTTAACTTGAGTTTAGTCAAGTAACCCTGTTGGTTAATTGGTCAGTAAATGAGTGCATGTTTTCACAATGGCTATTTTTACCAATTGTTTAATGCAAACCATTGAACATCGGCCTCTCAAATGTGAAAATGAGCATCGTTCCTCGTCTTAAAATAGAAAAAACTGTTAACAAAACAGGATATTTAAAGATGTCAGTGTATTCGTATTAGATGTCAGTGTCCGTGTCAGTGTCCGCTTCGAGCGATAGAAGCACTAACAAAGAATAGCTAACAAAGCACTTATATACTAATAAAGGACTGGCTTATCTAAAGCCAGTTGAGTAGCACTTGAAATGTTTTGGCTCTATGAAACCTGATGTACTTATATGATTCTGTTTTCTTCAATTTTGTATCTTGTTGGTCGAATGCACTTATTGTAAGTCGCTTTGGATAAAAGCGTCAGCTAAATGTAATGTAATGTTTCTATTATACCATCACTTTACAAGAAAACAACCAGCAGATTGTCCATTATGAAATATGAATTATTTGCAGCCCTATATAACATTAGCTCTTGCTTAAACATTAATGAGTAATAACATATAATGGTAAACAATATTGTTTGTTCGAGTCCTTTCAATTTTGATATTTTAGGTACATTTTCCTAATGATACGTACATATTCTCAGATAAGGTCCTTTTTCAATGCAGGATTTAACTTTTGTACTGTGTGGTAGTAGTAGTTTCGAGTAACAGGTCTGAATACTTCCAATATTTGGGTGTACAAATGGATTTATAATATGTATAATGTATTGTGTGTGAACTTAGCACCATTATGCATGGTGTGAGCTCATCAGAGATGGTAGATAGGATTCTCTGGTTTCAGTTTTTGCTGAGAAGTGATCATTCTCAGATACTTCTTGTCCTATTTCTTATCAGATGTTCTAATGTGGATGGAAAATGCCCAATAATCTTCAACAGAGTCATCACGTACAACGTATGTTGTAACAACTGCATGTTAGCTCGATTGGAAAGTACATTTGAATCAAAAATCAAATCATTCCATTCCGGTGCGGGATATGTTTCTCTAATCGGTTTCTATACTGCGTGTCACATTTGTAGATATGTTATCTAACTCCACACTGATTTTTTTCTTATTGTATTCATTAAATGCCCCTTTTAGTATGTATCATAAGTATTTCAATGAGGTATTATTTAAAATGGTTTAGGTTTCAGTGTAACAAAACGTATTTACAGCAGGGTTGTTACATGAAATCATTATATATACTGAGAGGTTCATTTCCTTTGCCGGCAATTGAGGAACATTCTAGTTGCAAAAGCGAGAAGCTAGAATACTAAGAAAAGCATTATTCATCACATTAACCTTTAGCCCTTTAGTCTCATAACAGTACACATTTTTAGTTTGAAGGCAATCTCCTCATCTCATTTGCAGAGCATTTCACCATTGTTGATTTTGACGTGTGCTAAATATAACTGAGGCTGTCACTTGCGAGGAAAACAAGAGCGAGTGCGGTTGGAAAGTATCTCACCACAGTCACCTCACCTTTCCACTAACAGGAGAGGAAAAGTACACGAGTATTCACACACTTTCTTTCACTCGCATATATATAATTGCTTTGTTCGTGCATTTTTAGAATTATTGGCCCTGTTGTCAGTGGTGGAAAGTAACAAAGTACATTTAATACTTTATACTTTACTACATTTTGGATGCATTCTATTACTTATTACTTCACTACATTTGTTTAACGCATTTCATTACTAGCTACATTGCAAGTATTGAGATATAATACAGATTATAAAACGGACAAGTCAAATCAAGCAATCTGATTGGTTCTTAGCATAGCGTAGAATTGTAGTTACTTTTCACAAGTCAGTATCCCTCCGCGTCTGAGAAAAGCTACAAACGTTACAACTGTTACATTACGTCCGTTACGAAACTAACTAACTAACAAAGCTTAAGATGGAAACATGTAAGGGATAATGTGCAGCAATGACTTATTGACCGTTGTTAAGGACGCTCACATCTGCAGAAAGAAGTCCGGTTTAACTGTATACAGTTGGGCTGAAAAGCAAACTGTATGCAAGGGCCGAACCACGCCCCTTAACTGTCATATAATGACCATATACCACGGCCTGTCGAACCAATACATCATTATGTATTATTATAGGTTAAACTACTCCGCAGTATATCCAGTTATTTCAATAATCCCCACCTTTACCAAGTGCCACATTGACATTAATGCATCAATAATAATCATAATACATATCATATGAGCCATACGGGAACATTAGTAGTTTTACTTTTTGTACTTTAAGTATATTTTGATACTAATACTTTTACTTAACCACTAAGTAAAAGATCTGAGTCTCTTCCCCCCCCCCCCCCCCCTGCATGTGTTGATAAATGAAGACACCAGCCGAGTCATGTTGAAGCTTTATTCAGTAGTAATATAAATGAGTTGAATCAGCAGACAGTGAGAAGCACCACTGGCCCGTCAGAGAAGGGACTCAATACTTTTCACATCATGACCCACTTGTTAAAATCACTGAACAAAAAAAATTAACACAGAAGAAAGAAAAAAGGGAGATGAGCTTCGTGACAAAAAGAATACAAAATAGGTGGAGTGATGCTGAAACACTGGTACACTACAGGAATGTTTTAAAAGCAGCTCACTCCACAAGCTTGAGTTTAGATATGATGAAAGTGTGCTACAGTCTGCAATGCTCCTTCACTTGATTTCTGCAGCTACAGCAGGTCGAGTGATCCCTCTGTGCACTTTGTGACTAATTCACATTGCAGAACGTTTGGGATTAAAACACAAAGACAGAGTGGCTCAGAATCAATGAGTTTAGAGATCACAACAGGAGAGAGCCGAGTGTAGTACTGCATAATTTAAAAAAAACCTTACTTTGAACACGTGGAGGACGTCTACAGTGTGTGTGTGAAGACATTTAAAACAAAGACAACGAGAAAAAAAATAAATACAAGGGGTTGAGTGAATGATATGGTCTGACCATTGGAATATACAACACGTTTGATTGTAGTCATGGTATCTGGTACAGGAATGTGACTTTGACAGTGTATTAAATATGATATATTTAATAATATGCATCTGTTAATATATTTATTACATCCTTTTCTAATCACATTACAGATCCTGCTGGCGTTTGAGTTGCAGGGTGAGAGAAAGATAGATAGAGGGGGAGAGAGAGAAAGAGAGGGGCACATAAGTTACTATGGGAATGTGCAGGGGGAGGGAGGGTGGGGGGTTCAGGGTTTAGCAGGAGACCTCCATGGTCTGGGGTCCGACCTGGTTGTCCAGACCCCCGGTGGCGCTGCCCTCCAGCAGGCTGTTGAGGTTGTTGCGGCTGCGACTGCTGTCCATGGAGGTGATGGAGGAGGAGGAGGCGGTGCGGGAGCGAGCCAGCCGAGTCATTCCTGCCGTCGCCACTGAAGAGAAAAACACATTGATATTCTGCTCACAGCGCGCAGGAGACTGCGTGGGAGCTAGGGCTGCACAGTTTGGGAGGAAGCACTGGGTGTGATTGTTTTCGAAAGATATTGCAATATATTGTTTGCTCTTTTAAAATAACAACGTATTCTTCTTGTCTTTGTATGCACCATTTAGAACAAAGCAAATTCCTCGTATGTGTAAATCTACTTGGTGATAAAACCTATTTTGATTGTGATATCATTTGCGATATTAGAGGTAATTACATTTTCTTTTTAAACATTATTCAAATTATCATTAGTAAATGCTTAAATGGTCAAGGTGGTTTTTTTTTTTACAGGGTGCGTACCCAACATGGATTTTTTATACAATACTATTTGTAGGCTGGGATTACTCCACAGCACCACAATACTTAACATAAACAATATTTTTTTACATTTACCAAATATTGCGCTTACTGTAATTTGGATATTGCACCAGTCCATATGTTGTGCAGCCCTAGTATGAACACTTAAAGATACACAGATGCAGCAACAACAAAAGTGCATACCATGCAAACCAATCTCAAATATGACGACTAAGTAAAAAGAAAAAGTAAGATAAAATAATTGCATGTGTGTCCACTGTTGACAAATAAAATAAAATATGAAAGCAATACAACAGCAGAACACAGCATTGGCAATCCAACTGAAGTGAGGGAGGAAGCAGCAGGTCATGCAACAGAGATAGGACACCTAGGATCCATGCTGAACGGGCAAAGTGAACTCCTACAGGGAGATGAATGCGTGTCAAAGTGTGCAGAGAGATCTCTCCCTGTGTGAGATACCGACTGTATCCTCCACACTGAGCGGCTGTCGAGTTCCAATCTGAAACAGCGCTCTCCGGAGAATTTCTGCATACACTGACATTCATCCACCCTGCAGTGTTTAAGGGCCTTTGGGTTCAAAGCATTCTAGTCTGGCAGCTGCTCGAGAACCTGATACCTGATTCGTTGCTCAGGTGACTGAGAAGAACGTAGGGAACTGTGAGCAACCATTAAAGAAGGAAGAGAGGAAGAGAAAGGGAGACATGTTGAATTGGTGCGTTGCTTTCCCCCACTCTGACTCAGACTGAGGCTCTGTCGCAGCTCGGTGGTCGTTGAGGGCAAAATAAGAAATCGGTTTTCTGTCAACCGGTAAGAAATCATAGCGTGTGCAAACTAGACTTTTCTGTACTATGGCTGTTTCTCTTTTGCGTTTCACACTGTGGCAATGTGTTAATGAGGGGAAAGCAGCTTTCGGTAACATGCTGAGGTGTTTAGATTTTTTCACTTCCCACACTTTCTCTGCGTGAAAACACCTCGTTTTAATCACTTTTAATCCTGCAGTGGCATTTCCTCGACAGGGGGACTCGGTGGCCTTTAAAGCAACACTGAGGCACCGGCATACTGCCTTCACCCCAGGGTGCCTCCCACAGTGAAGGGTTTGGGAACGGGAGAGAGCAAAAGAGAATTAGCATGACAGAAGTACACACACACACAGACAGACAGAAGTCATCTGTATGAGAAAGCAAACCTACATTAAACATCCATCCGTAGAGTCAGGTTTGCATTTTAGAAATAAATGTTTTCTTTGCAGATGAATGACCTGAAGGCCTGTTTAAGTATGACTCTCTCTAGAAAGAGACGGCATCATTAAACAGTTGTGGAGGGAAAAGAAAATCACACCAGGCAAAAAAACAGAGGGCATTTTCTGAACTGAACAGGAGTGAATTGTTGTTCAGCGTATCTGGAGTGACTGTCATTTCAGTCATGCTTGAAGCACTCAGGCCTCACCTACTGAGGTTTGTGGGGACCACACACTGCAAAGAGCAGAGAGGAAAATGCGTTAGCATCCAACGCGCCGTTGGGCTGCCTCTCCGTGACCAGCCTGACAAAAAGCCTGTCTTTTCATACACTGCTGGCCACAGGCCAAACCCCATCAGCAGGGGTGTTTAGCCACAGCTCATACGAGCCTGTAGCGAAAACAATCCTCATTTAAGCAACTGTTGGCAAAGCAGTCACGTCAACAGGAAACTCTGCAGAGAACATTGAAAAACCTCGACCACAAACACGTCAGACCTAAAAAGGTGTTGGCCTGTAAACAATTCTTGGACGTTCGATATAGATTCGACAAGTTTCAACCGGTATCATTTTGTATTTTTGTTTTTTTAACAGCACGTAGCAAAAGACATGTGTACTTACTGTAGCCCATTCCCTGAACAAAGTACTTGAAGGCCTCAGCAAGTTTCCCTGGCTGTGAACAGATGAAGGATCAAAGTTAGAAGATATATTAGATGAAAATAAATGCTATATGAACAAAAGAAACCTGTAAAACGAACCTGCACAACTTGGGGTAAGCCTCCACAATCAGCCATCTAGAAAAAAGATCATTTTAATGAATATATTTTCTTTTACAGCCAAAGTAATTACATCATAAATGTATCTGTCAACAAAGGAATAGCTTCACCTTTAGCAGTGTAGTCTTGATTGGATTTAACCTGGAATTACACTCCACCTAAAGACATGAATGAGAAGCTGAGTTAAAGAAAGAAAAGATACAGCAGAGCTTCTTCCTGAGATGAACAGTGTTACTCACCACAGCCTCCACAGCAGGGGCCGTGTCACCGACCACCAGCAACGCAGGGCATCTGGACGGGAAGAATACAAGGCGTAAAATATCTTCAAAACATGGCATTCTGAGATAAAAATATTTGATTTGTGTCTTCTTGGTCTCATAACCTACTTTAGTGTTTTAACTGTGTCCTCGTTCAGACCCACGATTGGCCTCTCGATATCAAGGTCCTGACGGCTGGTGCAGGGAGACAAAATATGATTAGTTATTCAGATCTACTTTTACACATCTTAGAACAATTAAATGTGATCGAGACACAATACATATGTGAACAAATGTACAGTGTATACTAATGTATGTTATCATACTATTGGTAGGAGCCACAGAAGAGGGCCAGGTTGTCCTGGTTGATGTCTTGAGCGATGTGGAGGCGGTAGGTCTGGATCAGCTCCAGGTTGTCGGACAGCTCATCCTGCGGGAAAGAGCGGAGTAAAACCTCAATGAAATGTGTCTTTCAGACAAGCTGTTGGATTTGTATATCCAGTACGTCTAGCTCACAAAAAGATTGAGAGAGATTTTTTAGGCAGTCGCTTAACCTGCACAAATACGAGAAAAAAAATAGTGATTATCAAAACGCCTTTAAAGGGTGTAATGGACCCCTGCCTGTGTTGCCAGGCAAAGCAAAGTCTTGGAGCTCCTATGGATGTATTTCAATGAGTTGAAAATTGGCACCTTTCTATGCAAATTGGCCTCAAAGCATGAATAGTCCAATTCACACAGATCAGGGCTAATGGCCATGCAGTTACAATGAAATGCCTACAGAGATATGAAGGTACCTGCAAGTTCTTTTTTAGGGCATTCATGATCATAGCACTGAATGATATTTCTCTTGTGTCCTTACATGTCAAATAATGACTTTGTCTTTTACAATCTCAAGGAATGCTTCTGAAAACAGCACGGACAGACTGAGATATTAAATCCCAAGCAGCGCACTGTGACCCTGCCCTAAGTCTTAAATCCCTTGCCTTGTGTTTTGAGGAATGCCTCTGAACCTCACGGGTCAGGACCTTTAGCTTACGGTCTGAAAATGTCCTTCCTCTCTGCTACCGTGCTGCCTGCTGTGTTCTTGGTGCAAAGGCTCCATTTATTCTTCAGGAGACACTGAAAAAAAGGCTATTTGCATTCAGCTGCAAAACATTATGGGCAATTTATTGCCAATCTATTCTTCTTGAATTAGCAATCCACATGTTACAATCTACCAGTGTATCTATTTTACAGGATGACAGAAATAGGATAATTAGTAAATGCCCCTCATAAGAGCGAGATGAAGCTAACTGTGTCCAGGGAAATCAGGAAAAGCCTCTTGAGGTTCAGTAAGTGTTTCCAATTGTCAATGAGAAAGGTCAAAGCACATGAAGAGTGAAGTAGTGAAGGAGAGACTCACGGCGCTGAAGTGGTGAGACATGATGATATCCACCAGATCACTGGTCCATCCAGACAGCTGCACAGAGAGGAGCATCCAGGAGAGAAGAAGGGGACAACAGCTGATTTATCATTTATTTATTCATGATGTTTATACGTAAAGAAGTGTATTCACTGATTTAATGTTGGATTTTGACATTTATAAAAGAAGACAATACACAAAGAGGCTGTATTAATGTTAAAGAAATAGTAATAGTGTCTGTCTGTCTGTCCCTTTCTCCATCATTACTGTTACTTTCCATAAAAACTCAATCGTTATTTTTTAGTAAAGGACGTCATCTCTCTATCATGTTTCTTTTTTTACATTTGGCTTGGTTGAGCAAAATAAAAACAAAAGAACAGATGAAGCGTTTTGTTTTTAAAGTATGTGGGACGAAGGTCATGTCAAGCCCACTCCTACATAACTGCGCTCAACAATAACACGACAAAGAATGTCCTCGCAGTCACACAAACCACACTCACCACACTCACGTTATTGTGACCCATCTTGTTCTGCACTTAAAGCAAATGATTACACTCAAAATGAAACTAATATAAATTAATAAACATTAGTAGTGATTGTGGGGGAAACTTCTGAAGCAATTGGAGTCAGGACTCAAAGAGAGACACGAGGAGAGCTGGAGCTTTGATGGCAAACACTGACGGTTTATTTGGAGCTTCGACCGGAGAATTCACAAGACATGTCACGGGCCACGAGTTGACCACAGGGTAGAGATGCCAAAATCAATTCTGAAGACCCCTCCTGTAGCTCGAGCTTTTAACTAGTTCAGAGTGTAATAATCAACATTCTTCAATAGATAGACTAAACAGCTGAGGACACTGAATCACATTTGTTGTCGCTTATGGCTCGGGGTCATCTACACCCCGAGAAGGATGTGTTCCAGGTGTCCCACAACAATAACTATCTCTCACCGAGAGTTGCCCGGTCATAAACTGGCAAGATCAACAATATGCTAGGGCAGCCCCTCCTTATGGGAGATAACGGCTGATCAAGGTTGGTCAGCTGGAGGACATGCAGGGCAAATTATTCCCCAACAGTGATGTTTGTTGTACTACAATATGTGAAATGACAATTACGTTGAATATAATCAAAAAAGAGTTTGTCCAGTCAAATAAGAAGCTTACATTTGATTTGAACTTTGAGTACCCGAGCACTGCAGGTATAATCACATGAAACCAGGATTACAGTCCCTACCTGGGCTTTTCATTACATTAATCCAACACTTGTTAATCTTACACTTTTCTCAAGTTATTTTTAAACCTTAGTAAAGACTTTAAGTTATTACTATTATATCAAGTATATAGTGAGTATAATCGGTGGCTCTGAGTCAGCATCCAGTATTATATAATCTTATTTAGTTCTTGCATTATATATAATAAACTATGCTAAGCATGAATGATGTACAACAGTGAGCCTGAAATAGTGTGTTTAGGGTAAGGCATTAATCAATAACAACCTGACAAATGGCAGGAAACTGAACTGAAATGGCTGCTTAATTATTCAAGTGTAGTCAGTATAAATAGCTTGATGTTGCACAGAGCACTGAGAATGCTGCAGCGGTGATACTGACCTTTGAAGCGGCCCAGTCGATCCAGCCCTCGGCACAGGGGTCCACATTGATCAGAACCAGACCCTCCACCAAGCTGGGGTGGTTCAGCTGGGGGGGAAGGATGCATGTCAGGGCCAACTTGTTAAACATTTAGATAAATAAGATATTCCTACATGGGAGTATTCTTGCATTATGCGTGCTGTGGTGTGACTACAGCTTTCACGCTTGTATCAGGGTATATGCAGGAATCCTGAAGTCAAATGTAAAACCTTTTAAGACCTTTTTTAAGACCCTTTCCATACATTTTAAGAACTCATCGCCACTTTGAGTTTTAACCGGTTATTATCGACACACTTTACCTCAAATTTACTATATACAGTATTGATTGTCCTTCCTCCTTATCTTCCAACCATTTAGACGCAGACTTGCATTTCCCCATAACGATGTTGTTTAACAACCGGCGTAAACGGACCTTTGCGCGCTATCAAGCAGTGAGCGTGCGATGTCCTGTTCAGATGACGTCAAATCCAACGGGATGCCATAAATAAACTACACAGAATCACACTGCACACCTACGCAATGATTATTCAGGCAAACTGTAGAATACAACCTCTTTGGACAATTTATATACTTATTGAAAACAAGCTACAAAATGTAATACCTTGGGAAATGCCCTTTAATACTTTTTAATAGCCTTCATTTTCGCTAAATTGATTTATCAACTTTTAATACTTTTTAAGACCCCGCGGACCCCCTGTGTATAAACTTACAGTGTAGTTTTGTCAGTGAACTAAAATCATTTTGCCTACCCAATGCTTCATCTTCAAAATGAAAACTTTGTAATCTTATTCCCCAGGGTTTTATGAATAATTTGAACAGTGCACACACAGATTAAATCCACTGCAGTGTTCTCCTATATGACATAAAGTGAAGAATGTCTATTCAATGAGATGGAAAACTGGGCTTCTAAATGAAGGGGTGCGGTTTTGGAATAGCCTGAAAACAGAAAGAGGATGTCTGGGGAAATCTACGATCCATCTCACTCGGTGTTGAGGAAACACTGCGGAGGCTGCTCTCAACACGATGCAAATGCAACAGCTGCTATACATCTATCAAGGGTAAACCCATTTTGTTCCAAGGCGGTAGTCTTCATTAATTCTAAACAAGAGCCGACTCTCCTTAGAGAAACTGCTGGTTCTCCTGCTAATCCCGTTCCCTTTTTACCCCGGACCACCATACTCTCTTTCTATAATTCATCTTTCAGCGCTTCCTCGCTCCTCTCCGTCACTCCTGGCTCTTTCTGCTCCATTGTACAAATGCTTTGAGTGCAGAAGCAAGTCGTAAGCAAGTGAAAAGGAGAGAAATCGCCACGGTGATTCATCATTTGGGGAGTGACGGCGAATGCAGCAGACTGTGGAGAGACCTGCTGGCCTGTGTGGGCTTTGATGGGAGGCTTTAATGTTCAACAAGCTGTGTGGCCTGAAATCCTACAGTTATTATAACAGGCGAAAACAGATCGGAGGGGGGCGATAACACAGGAGGAATAAAGGGTTTGAAGATGCTCTGGTCCTGATGGGGACTCACTGCAAAGAGGGAGAGGATGTAGGCTCCTGCTCCCACGCCGATGCCGATCATGCTGTTGACCCTGCGGAGAAACCATTGGTTACAGCGAGACTGTCGACAAATTGTCAATTAATGCACATGATCATTGATCAGCTGAACAAAGGGCACACTCACTTTAGCTGAGTCATCACAGAGGGCAGCATTTCAGCCAGCTCCTCCATGGTGGGGTAGCGATAACTGGAAACAGATTAAATACATGAAAGTCAATGAGTATGAGGTCATTTCATCACGTTTGAATTAATCAAAGGAGTTGAGTTTATGACAAATTGAAAAACTCAAATTAGGGCTGTGCAATTAATCGTATTTTAATCTCGATTAGGATTTTGGCTTGCAACGATTACGAAAACAACGTAATCGAAATAAAACGATTTTTTTTTTAAATTATTTTATTTTATTTTATTTTTTATTATTATTGGTTTTTCAGTTGAATTATACTTAAAGTTCAGGGTAATCAACTGTTAAAAACATATTGTTCACATTTTCCTTTTCAATAAATGGATGTTTTCAAAGTAAATGGATAATCGTTTTTAATAATCGTGATATCAATTATTGACCAAAATAATCGTGATTATGATTTTTGCCATAATCGCACAGCCCTAGCTCAAATGTTTCTTTTTGTATTAACAGGATGGACAATGAATGTGCTTCCATTAGCAAATGAACCTCCAGCTCATTTTCCATTCTCAATAAAGAAATTGATTGCGGCATATAAAACTGAGTCTCCATTTAAGTGAGTTAAGTGCATGTAAACTAGTGTGAAACCCACCCGCTGGGGAAGGGAGGGGCACCCTCCTGCTGACCGGGCGCGTCCACGTGAACCACTGCAAAGTGCTGCGTGATCTCCTGCATGTCCTCGTAGTTGAACAGGGTGTTGAAGCATGACTTGTCTAGAAAGGGAGAAAGTTCAGGAGTTTAATCTTTGCAGAGGAGCCATGTGGGACTCAGAAGCTAAAACTAAACGCCGTCATCACATCCAGGACATTGTGTATCGATGAGTCTATTTTTGGCGGACTCACGGTTGAGGCCGATGTCGTGATAGGTGAGGATGACGGGTCTGTTGCCCTTGGGAACGCCTCTCATCGTCACATGGAGAACGCCATGGGGAGTCTCAATGTCATGCTCCTGCAGCCACAGAGAAGAAGAAAGAGAATGGTTTAAGAATGATGTACGTATTCGGTGTAAAGAGAAAAAGCTTAAACAGAAGAGGAAGTATTCCCCTCTTTTAATGTGACATGTGAGTTGTCTGATACAGGACAGCCAATGACGGCACATACCAATTTGTTTATGGCTCAAATAATAAATAAACAACAATTATGTCTTTGAAGCCTTATAAAGATTTGCCCCAAAACTCCAGCATCTTCCAAAAACTACTAAAATCATAATAAAAGGAGCCATTTGGTGTCATATTTCTTCATGTCTTTGCAGTTCAGTTATTTTCAGCTTGTCAAACTAGCAGAGGAGTTTCGGGAACTACATCCTTGAGCATGCTCAGTGTTGCTGAACAACCCATCAATGATCACTGGGGATGCAGCTGAGGGCGGTTTCAAAATCTACAACATGTGTGTATTGAAGTCAATGGGGAGAGAAAGATTATCTTTCGATCCCGTTTGAATTGTGCCACGAATTACACATATGATGTTTGTCAATTTAAAAGATAATTTCCATGTCAAAAAAGTCACAGTTTGTCGTAAAACTGTTGAAATATAAGACAATGAAAAATACGCAACTAGAAGGACTACAAATCCCAGAATCCCGGTCCCGCATGCTGGCTCTTACGGAACCGACTAATTCCCCTTGTGTGTATGTACAGCTCTCAACACGCCCAGACTTGTAGTGATTTTCACCTCTTTTAATACTTTTCGCCTCATTCTGAAAGAAAGAAGTGAAATGTGCCAACGTGACGGCCGTCTTGGTGTGTGGTGCGAGACGGGAGATGTAGTTCATTGAGCGGTTTCACACAAAAAAAGTGTTACTTCACAGTTTTAAGACACATTTTTATTTTTTTGACTTGCAAAATTATCTTTTAAATTGACAAACATCATATGTGTAATTCGTGGCACAATTCAAACGGGATCGAAAGATAATCTTTCTCTCGCCATTGACTTCAATACATACTTTTTCCGAAATAAGGAGGTCCCCCGGAAAGGGAGGGACTTCGCCTCTCTATGGCACAGCGCTAATATTTGGACACTAATGGAGCTCTATTGCATGGAGAGATGAGCTACAGTCGCTCAGGCTACACAGACAATGTTATTAGTAACATACGATAGTTTTAGCATTGAGAAACAATTACATTTACAACAATGCTTTATCAAGGCTGGAAAACAGCTGATTTTATTTTCTACATCAGATTTCCTTAAAGTAATCAGCCATTGTCGACAACATTGGAGTCTCAGATTCAGGATGCAAAGCATGCACCTCTCCTCCAGCACACATTCCTTGTAGCCTTGGACAAACAAAGCACCGAATAGGCTCACTGGGAAAGTCTTTTCAGTCCATTTATCCGAGGGTCTGAAACTCACAGTGCATTCACAAGTATGACTCTGCAAAAATAAAATGTCTTTGCAGAACCCATTAAAATTCAAAGAGCTCACACCAGCTCCCTTCCCTACATAGCCTTTGTTTGAATATCTTCATCTATCCAACATGAGCAAAGAATACATTCAATGGTTTTAGCTGACACCCACTGGAAGACTCTGAAATGTGATTAAGATAAATCAGGGGGATTAGTTAAAAGATGACATGGCAAAAAAAACAACAAGAGGCTGTCATGAATGTTTCATGAGCCAGTGATATAGGAAGTGACATAACGGGAAGCGATAAAATATACAGGAAGTGATAAAGCCAGAATCACAGCATCACAAAAACACACCCTTCCCAAGGTCAGCATGACATAGCTACGTGTGTGTGTGTGAGTGTGTACTGCACGGGCGTAGCCGAGTGCTCGCCTGGTCTCAAGGCCCACTGGTCATCAATAATAAAGAGAGCGTGTGCAGACGAGAGACACCGATTACGGCTGACAGACACAGAGTCCGACTGTGTCCCCCTGCAGACATTTGTCCGATGGATGTGTGTCACACTCTCCACAGAGGTGGTGAAGCTACTTTCTCAAGGACGAGACTGCAGCAATATACATCTGCAATCTGTAGTGGACACAGTACCACAAAAGGAACAAATGCTGCTCTTGTCAGCGACCAACTCAGATATCCTCGTTGTGTGGGAGTTGCTATAGAGATAAGACAGTCGCACAAAACATGAAAACCATGCGAAACGCTCACAGTCTGTGTGCTACAATGTAACCTCTCAACCGGAGATGGAACAAACCATGGAGATACTGTGTTAGCCTTGCACTTATCGGAGACCTTTCCACAGGAGATAATGAAGTGACTCTGCAACCTCGGCCTGGTGGGGGACAACCTGTAATAGACTCAATTTGCTACTGCAGAATTGTTTAGCTTTTACACAAGGACAGAGTCAAGGGCACTGGAAAAGAGAGGCTTTGCTCTAAGAAACAAGGCAAACACACGTGTGCAAATGCAGGCCTTCTGTCGTGTACTGAACATTCGCTGGAGAAAGCAGGCAAGTACGCCGGTCCAGAGATAGGAAATACATTTAAAAAAAGGTGATGGCAACCTAGTGGGGGGGAGATGATTAGATAAAACAAAAATATAGCCTGGAAGGTGGTTTGGAGGAAATGGAGCGTGAAAGCAGGGACAGAGAAAAAAGAGTCCTGTATGACTAAGAGAAGGATGCGTCTTAAAACAGAAGGGCCGCATTAATTTATCATGCCTTTCCAATCATGTCCTGGCAAAAAAAACAAGGGGTAGAGAATCATGAAGAAAGATTACCCTTTATTTATCCATTTAGCTCCTGGCATGGTTACATAGCTGTATTGATCTGGGAGTGCTGCCTCCCACCATTTACTTTCACAGATACGCATATATGTGTACACACAGCAGCATCTCAAGAAATCAGACACGGGGTGTGGCGGCTGGCCTGGACAGCTATAGAAGGAGAGCACTGGAACCCTTTTTTTCGTCTTCAATACATCCATGGCGGCTAGTAGAAGGACAATAAGTGTGTGTGGATGTTTTAGGGGCAGTTGAGAGAGGAATACAGAGTAGGAGGTTGTGCTTTGAGGAGAGGGGCTTCATGAGGCATTTGGGTTTGTGCTCCCACAATCAAGGAGGGTGAAGGAGGTTAAAAAAAAAAAAAAGGAGAGCCATGTGTCAGTCTGCTCCACTTCCCGCAATCCCTCTCTTATCAATCCCTCCTCCCCCTCCTGCCTGTTTTCCACGCCCTGCCAGGATCGGCATCAATCACCCCAGAGAGCAGCATTACAGGGCAAGAAACACCAAGCAGCCCCCCATCAGGTTGCAAAGGAATTCAACGTACACACAGAATGCAACACAGACACACATGTGTACTGTATGCATGTTCTCCAGCAGGATCATCCCAGGTACATGTCCCCCTGCTCTCTTTGCCACAAACACAGGCCCCCCTGCCTGCAGCACACATGCAGTATCATGAAGCAGGGGGAGGAAACTGCTAACTCTCTGCACAGAGTCTCTGCAGCAGTGATTTTTGTCGTGCAGTGTGTGTGTAGGGGTGAGTGACCTCCCTGCTTGTTCTACGTGATAACAGAATTAGAAAACACAATGCTGGCACTATGAGCCATCTGCAGCCGCTCTCAGGCAAAACACGCATTCCTGCAGTTATTAAAAGACCTGAAAATACTCATTTGAGACGTACTGGAACACGCAACCCGAAACACAGAACGACCCCACTGAGGGCACGTACACATCATCATCATTTTGTTGTGGCGTTTGCAGATTCAGAGACACTTGGGCACTGAACACATGCATCTTTCATACCCTCACATTAAAATGCACCACTGCACCCTGAGCATGTTTAGGCTGTGCAGACCACACACATGGACACTGTGTGACCTGTAGGCACACGCGCACACACACACACACACACACACACACGCACACACACACACACAGAACAAATGTTCACCCCGCACTAGCAGCTGCCCGGAGAGAAAAAGCCCAAAGTCACAGCCGTCTGCTAAAGGTGGTGACAGGCAAGCCAGGAAAGACCCCCACCAGCTTTTCCCTCCCCAGAGCCAGCTGCTGTCCCCTGCTTTAGGGAAACCGCACAACAACCCCCCCCACCACCACAATATGAATCTGCAAGGAGCAAGCCAGGTGTGTCATAGCAGGCAAGATGCATTTGTCACTCACCACTCCATTCCCAGAGCATGCAATCTGGTCCAGGTCCAGAATAGCTGACATGTTTTCCCACGCAGGAGAGCAGAGTGTTATGCTATGTGCAAGTGTGTGCTGGGCAGCTTTGAAGATCTCCAAGAGCAGGAGGAGGAGGAGGAGGAGGAAGAGGAGGGCGGGAGCGTTGATAGGAAGGGAGGGATGTGAGGGTGAGGCAGCAGCAACAAGGAAGACGGAGAAGAGAGGGACAGGAGAAAGACACAGCAGAGGAAGTGAGGAGGAGATGGGTAAATAATCTGAATGGAAGCAGAAGAAGGAGGAGGGGTCGGATAAGATGCAGAGAGCACAAGAGAGAATGTGGGAAAGAGAGACAGAGAGGGGGAGGAGAGTGAGACTGCAGTTTGTGCTTTGTAGTCACAGCGCGTCCGTGCATCCAGCCACCGGTGCGTCTAATTGGATTGCAGCGGGTCAGGTGGGTAGAGGGAGAGGGGTGGCGCTTAGAGGAGAAAAGAGGAGGGGGAGGGTGGATGAAAGAGGGGGTGATGGGGTGCAAAGGATGCAGAGGCAGACCTGGAAAATGGGCAGGCTGCTGACGTCACAGCGTGATAAAGTGAAGAGAGAGGAGGCTGACTTTGACAGCTTCCCTGGGCTGCATCAGCAAAATGGCTGCTGAGATTTAGCAACAATCGCCCAGATTCACGTTAGCTTCACCTTGCTGAGGGAGAAGACAGTGAGTGACCTCAGCATCCGGATAAGAAACACCTCAACACCTCAGACCCTGATATAACCTTGCAAAAGAGTAGTAAAATGCAGCATACACCATCAATAGCTCTGCTGCAAATGTCACTGCAGCACTAGCTCCAGTATTCATTTCAGTATTGATATTCAGCAGATAACTCATTATGTTGCAGGCTTACTGGAAAGTAAAACCCACAACGAGCTACTATTTTTATACACAACCCTACATGAGGATCCATTTCCTCTGAACCCGTCTCGGAATCATTTGATCCACATAGTTTATTGATTTCTCCTTTCCTACTCTCCTCTGTCATCTGCTAGCAGTGCAGAGAGTCACGCTTCTGTGTGAGACGGACAGCTCTGTGCAGCCAATACATAACATGCAAACAGCACAGAGTGGGTGGGCTTACAGAGAGAAGGGGGACTTCATTGCTGGGTTGGTATAGCAGCATGTTTGGTTGCAAACTGATGTTTCTCCTCTAAATGTTCCCTGTCCTAACCCACAGAGGGTGCCACTGACACACATGTAATGCATGTATTTCAGGAAATAAACACTTGATATGCAGACTACACAAACAAGTTAATACAGAAAACATAAAAAAAGAACATCTGAACTTTTGAGGAATCCAAATACATATGGATCATATATGTTTTTTATATACATGTATTGCTTTCCCAGATACATTTTTTTTAATTTTGCAGTGCAAGGTTTGCAAAAAACAAAATTGTTTACAGTGTGTTTATTACCATGTCCGGTCATTCAAGGCACATTGTGGGGAGAAGATGACTCATTTTACGTATACTGTGACGTTACACCAGATTATGATGCACATGTGTTGGGTCACATCAACTCATGACGATTGTGTGTGGGACTGAACACATGTTTACCGTTTCCTCGACAGAGCAGGAGCCTCTTTGTGTCACACACATAGACTGTATACAGGTCACACACTGTCATTGTGTCTCAGCAGGACTCCGCAGTCTGAGGAGCAACACGGCCATGCAATGACGCTCGGATCTGCAAAGCTAGTTCTACAGTAGATAGAGCTTTGCATCGACACTGCCAGAATCTGAGGTTTATTACTTATAGTAAATCAATTTGATTTGATTTAAATAGCCCAATAATACAGATAACACATTTGTCTCAAGGGGGTTTAATTTGTGTACAGCATGCAATGCCCTCTATCGTTAGACCCTCACAGCGGACAAGGAGAATCTCCCAAAGAAACCCCACGATGAACAGGGGGGGGGGAAAAGGAGAACCCTCAAGGACAGCAACAAATGAGGGACACCTCAAACATAGGAAGATGTCCAAGCATATTAAACATGCACAAGCATAGGACATTTGTATTAAACTGTGTTCATTTGTCATGACATGAAGTATCACATGACAAAGGAATTTTTTTAAATCTGTCTCAGACTACATATCTGCGACATAACACATTTAAAATAGATGATCAACAACAGTGAAGCATAGTGGACTAAAAACACATCACACAGGCCTCGAGCCACACAGTGTACAGGCTTATGGCGCCCTCTGCTGAGCTTACTGAGACAGTGAAGAATACAAGAAAGCCAAAGACATGACTTGGCAGCCATTTGTCTGAAAAGCTTCTACTTGTCTTTGTGTAGCAACGTTACAAGGTCAAAAAGACAAAAATGTAACAAAACCGGACATAACTAGGAAATGACAAACCATTAATGACTAACAACACATTTCAGGGCAAGCTACTCCCTCACTGCAGTGGGACCATGGGACACCTCAACAAAATCACGCCTGTTAGCTCTCCTGGCTCCAAAATGGTGGAACTAGTTCACCATTTATATCAAGACAGCAGAAATCTACACATTTTCTGCTGCAGACTGAAAACAAACCTTCTTCGACTGCACCTTAATAAAATAGAACTCTCACATCTGTACGTAGCACTTACAATGGTTTGGCATATTGAGAACTAATGTACTTTCAGGATTCGTGGTTTTTTGAGGTTGTGTTTTCATGTTAAATGCACTTATTGTAGGTTGCTTTGGAAAACATGTCAGCTTAATGAAATGTAATTTAATAAAAAATGGTATTATATTAAATTAGATCCAACTTTCTTGTCATTGAACAAGAACTTAGACAATGAAATGCAGTTAGCATATAACCAGAAGTGCAAACCTTCTGGATAGTTGAAGTAGTAAAGTACAGTGTAATGTATAGTATAATATACAAATAATCTAATAGTGACAATTACAAGCTTACAAGCTAAAACATCACATTCAGATCCATGGATATATCTCAACGTTTTGCTCTCCACCACAAACACCATCCACCCTGAGATGTTCTATTTTTAAAATGAACAGTCAGCCATTTCCATGAAGTAACCTGGTGTTCCAGAGTATGCACTTTAAAACCCAGTCGGTCTCATGGGTGGCTGAGGCTGAGTCACACCTTCCTCCCCCTCCTCACGTCTCTGTGGCGTAAGCAAGACATCTGGTCAAAACTGCAGTACCACACCCTCCATGTTCTCCTCTCTGACCCCACCTCACCACCACCACCACGACTATAACCGCCCTCCTCCTGCAGGTGCAGAGGGTGTGATATGTTGCAGTACCTATGGGCGCCTCTAGTAGGAGCTTTAGTTGTAGTCTAGAGGAGAGCAGCTGGATTTGTCCTCCAGCTGCAGGAATGTCACATCGTCTCTTAGAGTGATGGTGTAACGTGAGGACCCCTCCCCCACACACAATATATATTCTTATGATGTCTGCTGCCTTGAACTGCATGTACGCTCTAGTAGTTTTTATATTACTGAACTGATTAGATTGTGGTAGTCAGCTGCAAACGAATAATGCACCTTATTTAAAATCGAGAGACTTTTTGACATCACATTGGAGCTTATATCAGTTCATGTAAAACCAGCAAGCAGAAGCCTGTCCTACATAGAAAATGCTTAAGATTAACATAGCAAAAAGTATATTCCATTTTATATATTTTACACTTGAGTGGAAGAAGAGCAAACGTTGACTCATGTGTGAGGAATAAAACATTTTATAGCCAATATGTTGGGTTAAATAGCTTGCAACGGGGATACTGCAACTTATCCCAGATATTATGGCTATTTGCTAAATTACTATTTAAAATAGCTAACTCTCCTTTTTCTCAGAATGTCTCTCCTTTAAAACCAAACAATACATACATTTTGATCCAAAAATTCAGAAGGAAAATGATACCACTTTGCTGTTCTTTAAATCAAATAACAACTGCTAGTTATCCCTAAGATTTCAATCACTTGACATAAGAGACATTTTGTCTTTTCATTGTAGGAAAAGCTCTATTCAAAATTATATTCTATATGCAATTCAGTCATTTAATTATTTAAAAACCTGTGCTTTTTGATATGCAGAAATGAGGATAGGTATTCTATCTATCGAGTTCACACAGTGTTAAAAAACATTCCTACATGGATCTGTCTGAATAATTCCTTTGGACTCCTGAATGTGACTGGGTGAGGTCAAAATGGCTGCCATGGAAAATAGGTTGAATACACTTAAGTCTGCCTCAATTCCTCTGAGACAATCCTGGTTCAATTGTGTCTTTAAAGTACAACTGCAGCAGCTGATATGAATCCCATAGAGGGGGAGTGCGAAGGAATATGGCACTCAAATGATGAGCAGCTGCAGCATGTGATGAATGCTAATGTTTCAGTGACAATGCAGACAGGATTGGAGCATGTAGCATGCTCCTGCTAACATGCAATCCTCTCCTCCTGTGCCTGCAGGAGCTATATTTAGCTCTGCTGGGATGCTGGATGCAGCCATGACTGCAGAAAGTGAGAGGGAGGAAAGATTTAACCCTTTGCTGCCTTGATGCTCATGAAACACAGCAGACAGAATGCTCGCCAGTGGGGATTCAATGCTCATGCAAGAGACTCCTTTGCAAGGAAAAGCTAACGAAGAGGAGGAGGGCTGGCAACCCCGCTCCCGACGCAGAGAAACCATCAAAGAAAGATCTGGAACAGTGCCCGCTCAAGGCCAATACAGCTTTTTTCCTTTAATGATAATTATTTCTACATTAACACATCAAAAGATCTGACTGTGTGGTTGAAATGCCGCAGCTTCCGTAACACAGAAACAATCACATCTTGCCGTAGAAGACTCTTTCTGACACAACTATAAAAAGATATCTGGAATCGCTGCACTTGTATATCTCTTCCGTACTAAAAAAAGGACAGTCTCTAGGGGAAGTGTTCTAACTGAACAACTGGCCACGTTATTTTTAAAGCTCTGCAGAGGAGGATGAGTCCAATAAGTCCACGGTTTATTTACTTTGATGGCACGTTGCCATTATTGCAGGGTTTGGTAGTAGCACAGGGGAGAGAGGGTTTGTTGCTAAAGGCTTTGTGGTTAGAGCAACAAGCAATCACAATGCTTACTTCTTATAATGTATATCCAGAACCACCAATGTGATTGGATGTTAGCTTTTCATATCAGGACACATGATCTGCAGTCTACAGAAATACAACTAAAAAGTGACTACAATATACATCCATGCAAGACAAAGAAAACCTCAATGTAATAGGTTTAATATAAAAAATAGAGCCAATCATTTAAATCCAATACATAACGGTCTACCCAAAGACAGTGTGGTGG